GAAGAAGAAGAAGAAGAAGAAGAAGAAGAAGAAGAAGAAGAAGAAGAAGAAGAAGAAGAAGAAGAAGAAGAAGAAGAAGAAGAAGAAGAAGAAGAAGAAGAAGAAGAAGAAGAAGAAGAAGAAGTTTTTACATGGTTTGTGAGTTCCATCATTGTAGAGAATTGCAAAGAAGTTTTGTAAGTAAATGGGGAGAGATCCATATAATCAAAGAAAACCAGTTTTTTTTTTAATAAGGTATGTAATTAGGTGAAAAGCAATAATTAAATTGATTATGTTGTACACTTGAATCAATTAATTACCATTTCATTCTGTTGCAGATGAATAAATGCACCTCTTTAAGTTCTACAGAATTATTAAATGAAGGAATCTGCTTCAGAATTACTGACTGCATGTCGCTGCAACATCTGTGCTACAAAGTTTGATTGTATGAAAACTAAATTTTGAAAAATAACTTTTTATATGGAGTAGTTTAACCGCAAATCTAAAAAAGAGTCACCATGTTGCAGGAAATGCTAGTAATTATATTAATGTCAATATTGATATATAGATGTGTAACCTATAGATTTAGTATTTTATATTAGTTTGATGTTAATAATATGACAATTTTTAGAAATATATATGACAATTAACGAAATGGTTTTATTTTTCCTAAATTGTTTTCCCTCGAATAATACTTTCAAACGTCAAAAAGGAAACTGTCAGATTGATTTTTTTAGGTTGGTAGCAACGTATACTTGTTCATAATATTGCTAGCATTGAAAATGTCAATTTTTATTCTCCGTTTGTGTATCTAGTTAGTCAAGAGAACCCTCTCTTATTTTATATACTCTTTGCCATAGGATACAATTAATCAAAGAGCATGTAACCAGAACCAAGAACTTTATTAAGAATAGGACTGAACTTTATATCATTTGCCTTTACTTGCCAAAGTTAATTTGTCTTTTACAAGTGAGAGTTTTACACATAAAAATGAAAAGAAATGACAAAACAACAACAACCTGGGAGAAGTCACAATGGCTAATGGCTGGCAATTTCAATCTGGTCACACTTGCCATACATCTGTGGGTTCGTGTGTTGACTAACCTTAAAATATGGACAGGCTATACGAGTTAGTGTGTTGTGCCTATTGATTTTCGCCATTTTGGCGCTGAATGTGGTCGTTGAGTGCGGTGGTGAGGATTGAAACTAATAAGGGAGATAGAATCATTGAATGTCAGTAACTTCAACAACTTTTTCAAGTTGGCACAAAGTAAAAACCGTCAATAACTAGCAATGACCTATCCATCCATACTATAAAGTGAGTGGTTTTTGTGCCTGCTGCCTGTGCATGTGTTTAGTTACCTATATTCAGTAAGTATTCTTTGTAAATCTGTTGGTAAAAGAATATTCGACAATGGCAGATGCAAAGCAAGGTATGGTTACTTTTTCGTGTATACTTTTAAAATAGTAATTCATTACAGTTCCTGTTTATCTTTATTTTGAACACCTTTTGTTGTAATGTCTTATTAAGCGGATAGATTTCAGTCTATTCTATTCCCTAATTACTCTTACAAAGTTGAACCTGCATCGTTAACTTTTGTTAGAAAAATGCAATAACTTCTAATGATAATCAAAATCATACTGTCTTACTAAATGTAAAACTTTGTACTCTAGAACGTTTATAATATCAATAATTCTTTATCTATGTAAACACAATTCAGTTTAAACGTAAGCAAAAAGTATAGTGGTGCCTTACGACGTTGTTATTCTTTCTGTTTTTGTATATTTGCTCATTTATCACATATCAGGAAAGGCGACGTCGGAAGATCTACATAATGGTTCATCACAATCACGGGTTATATTGGCGAAACCACGTCTGGGTGGATTTGGTTCATCAAGCTTTGCCTCAAGTTCCAACAAAACTTGTAATCCATTCGGTAGGTGAATTATCTTGCCTAAATATTTTGTCTAGCCTATTTGAAGCTACTATTGTAATCCTATATATATATGTTATTGCTCAGAGTTTTACAGTGTATATGTTCCATTTATCTTTCTTTCTGTGACATACAAAAGTGACCTTTGATTAACATTTTACCCAAATAACTACATAGTTACAAGCTCAAAACTTCAACAAAGTGTTTTGTAAATTGCCTAAGTTTGCATTGTTTCAACACATCCAATGAATAGAGTGACATGTTATTTGTGATCTTTATATAAAATGTAACTTTATACTTTGGTAGTTGCAGTTTGTGTTTTGTTTTATGCAGTTTATATTTAAACAATACTATGTTTATTTCATAATACACCAGGTTTTTCTTCTCAGTACAATAATAAATGTGTATATTGATTTCAGGCTCTGTCCTACGCCCACCACAGTTGAAACCAACCAACAATCCATTTTATAAACATGCCGAAACAACAGAAGATGTTGAAGCAGAGAAAGAGAAAACACCACAGACTGAGCCTGTTGAGAGATTGCAGGATAAGAAGGAGGAAATTGACCCTCCAAAGTTTGTTCCGCTGGGTTCAGGTGGTGCCACCACAAGATCATCTAGTACTGTCCCAGCACCAGCACAGCCAACAACTGCTACATCATCAGCTGGATTTGTTTTCGGACAGAACTTAAGTGAACGAGTTGTAATGGCTGATTCAGTTAATAATGGAGATGCATCCACATTAGATCACACTTCCACGAATGGAACAACAGAATTACTTTTCACAAATGCTGCTGCTTCAGTCAAAGAAAATAACCAGGTACTGATATATGTTTTTTCTTATACATAGATTTATTTAAATTACTGAAACCTTATCTTGTTCTCAGACTTACTATTAATTAGATAAATGCATTAAATATTGAAAATTGATTACAAATCTTATCTTAAGTATTCACTGAGACTGATGAACATACTTTATGTCCAATGTAATGTTCCAGGAAGAAGCGGGTTCGAGTGAGAACAGTGGAGAGGGACTGGCGGCTGCCGCGGCGGAGTATGAGCGCTCGCACGCGCGTCCGCCACCGCCAACCTCCAACTGCACAACCACAGGGGAAGAGGATGAGATAAATGTGTTGCAGGTAGAGTATTACAATTCATGTCAATGTAATAGATCTATTTGTGCTGCTGATTGGAAGAGAAGAAAAGAAGAAATAAGCTGATGTCGTAATTATTTTGGCAAATGACTTGTGTAATGATGAATGATATCGAGCAAAAGCTTGAAGTTTTCCTAGTTATGCCTTAGTTTAGACAGTCCATGTACTGATGGTAATTTGAGTGTTATAGCAAAGTTTATCTTGCCATCTTTACTTTTCGTTACTGGTATCTCCAGGATGGCTTGACCGATCTTGATGAAATCTGGTGTAGATGTAGAATACAGTCTGGAAGAACAATAAGGATGTCTGTGATCCCAGTTTTGTGTATGTACAAGACATATAGAACTTTAGTTTATTTACTACTCAGAATGTGGGGCATTTGTAAATATAGTATGTAAATGTTACAGATAACATGTCGTCTGTTCGCGTGGGAGGCGGGCAGCTGGCGGGAGCGCGGGCGCGGCGTGCTGCGGCTGAACGACGCGCCGCAGGGCAGCGGCAGCGGCGGAGGCTCGCGGCTGGTGGTGCGCGTCGCCGGCTCCCTGCGCGTCGTGCTCAACACCAAACTGTGGCCCGACATGGTGGTGGAGCGAGCGGGCGCCAAGTCTCTCAGAATTACGGCCGTCGATGCACAGCTTCAGATCAAATTGTACCTTATTATGGTCAGCAAAAACATTTTTTGTAAAAACTTATAACACAGTAGTTCCGGGTTGAGAGCTATCTGTGCTCAAACTAATTTCAATTTTAATTTTTTTGGTCTATAGTACATTAGCTATGCCTGATGTTGAACACTACTGTAATTGGGCTTTGTCGTAATTAAAACTTATTTTGGTTTCAGGGTGCACCAAGCGACATAGTACACTTGTACAGGGCACTAACAGCTCGCATATCAGGCAGCAAAAGAACAATTAGTTGTAATCAAAACGCGACATCGCAGAGAGCCGCCGAGCGGCTGGAGGCGGACACCGACGACGCCGACTACCCCGATAAGGCCGACTACAATGAGGACGATTCCTGTTTCGAAGAAGATAAACAGAATTTCCCCGAACCACAAGAAGATGAAGGCGGGGAACCTATCATAAGCAATAACAGACTTGAAACTAATCCTGAAAATAAGACTGACGAGGAAAAAGTAAATGTACATAAAAAGATAGATGATGAAAACGAATCAAATGCATTGAAAAGGAAAGAACCGGTCGAAGATGAAACATCCCCAAAGAGACAGTGTCCCGAAATAGTAATACAAAGACCATAAACATTTGTGATTCACAGTACAGCGTGGGCGTGGTTCATTAATTTAAAAGCTCTATAAAAGATATTTATATATAAAAGATAGATGTAGAAAAGATGAAATGTGAAGTTGAAATATTATTTTAGTACAAAGCAACGGGCCGCAGTATTTACTGATCTAGTATTTTCGCAATTTCTAATATCACATTCCAATATTTGAAGTGTTATGTGACTCCTCACGTCTGGCTCGAGCTGATAACCAAATGTACATGTGAATTATTTTCTGATGATCGATAACAATAAACTTACCTTTTTTATAATTGCTTTGTTTCATTTATCCCGATAAACACATTTGGTACACGTGTAAGGCTCCGTTTAGATAGACCGAAGTGGAGACGTAGATTTTTTGAAGCAAATAAAATTGTGTCTTAAACGTTTAAAAGAAGGTTTAATTTTATTTTGAATGACTGTTTTAATCCAAAGGAAGTGTAAAAAAGCGATGAAAAGTAAAATTAAAACTTGTTTGTGTAAACGGATCCTAATACCAAATATATCAGGCTTCTATGATAGTAGTTTAATTTCAACACATTAAATGCAACTAGGATGTGTATTGAACTGGCGTGGAGTGTCGGTACTGAAAGTGTTAAGAATTATGAAAGTTGTGAGTGGCGATTACAATAATAAAATGTACATAATTAAACAATTTTGTCTCATTATCTTCGTAGTAATATCACATTGTGTAAAGGAGTTTGCTAATTTCTTGTGACAGAACACGTGTTTTTATAAGAACTTAAGTTTAATATATTCCCGTTATGCGTTAAGTGCCGTTAATTTACAATATCGCTAGCTAATAAGTAATAGATCAATTGATAAAATTGACACTTCTATATTATTCATTTATACAGGGCGATACACGTAAAAATATATTTTTGATTAATGTATATTTATCTGCTATTCTGACCAAACTGCAGCACACTTAAGCTATATTTCAGTCATGAGGAATTAATTGTTAACGTTAACAAATTTCAGTTTTCAGTAGCTATTTATGTTATAGTAACAATAACCAAGATAAATTACCTAACCTACTCAGAATCGTAAATTAAAAGTTATAGCTCTACTGTCCTGTCTATATGTGTAGATTAAGAGTTCTATCGCAATGAGAGGTTACACACATACTGTTATTGGAATTGTAAAAGTACGTTTAAGTCAGTTTTTACGAGAACATCCTGTGTATTATTTCCTAATTGATCTTTTAGCATCGTGTTTCATTTACTTGGGGCTTTAGAGATCATTGTGACACCAAAGAGATATATTTAATTATATAAATACAATACCGTTCCATAAATATGAAGAATAATTTCGAGGCTTTTAAACCACATTTTGGTTTTTTGGTAATGTTTGGATGTTATAAAATTATGTCGCCGAAATCCAAAATGCAGGAAACTTTACATCTTTTCTATCGTATATTTGTGACAGTTTACTATTGTACGTTTTGTACACAACATGTTATTCGTCTTTATCAAGTAAGTTTATTTTACATTGACTTAAACGCAACGTTCACTATTTATTTTCTTACGAATTTGATATTACGAAAATATCATTTCCATTGAAAAATCAAAAATAACTTTATCATAAGGTTTTGTATTTTGCAGATCAAAGACAATGTGTCGGAATTAGTCGATACTTTATACGTTTTGTTAACACTTTTTAACTCACTCGGCAAATTAGTTATTTTCAATGTTCGAAGGAATCGCATCGAACATATTGCTGAAGTTATAAAAGGTATTTGAGAAGAATCATGGTAATATTATGTCAAAATAATTGGGCTAAATAAATAGCTTATAAAAATCTAGCAGTTATGGCTTTCGAAAAAATATAAATTATAAATTAGCAACTACTGAACTGAGTTAAAGATGATGTTGCTGTGAGTTTCTTTTGCAGTGTTGTTTTAAAAAAAGTTGTCATCTGTTTCACTATCCTTAAATAAATAGAGACAAAATATGTAACAGCAGTGTCTTTTGATCGTTCCTGCTCTTGATGTTCATCTGTCATTCCACATATCAAATAAATATTTATTAGAATGAAACATTACAGGACCTGTGTTTGCACCGAACAATAAACATCACGAGGAGCTCATGGTGCGTAATGCTGCGGGGATGAAGCGACTGTTTAGATCCTACCAGTGTTTTGTGATCGTTTGTTCTGTCATGTGGCTGATGTATCCACTGATGACTCGCTTATTGGGGGAAGAAGTGCGCTTCGCCATGTACTGGCCGTTCAGAACCGATAAACTTCCAGTGTAAGTTGGTTGGATTAGTCTATAGATGATTGGGCTTTGAACATTGACAAAAATGTAACGGACATGCTGCGATATAAAAATGACGTATGAGATAATTGTAAATCTGAAATAACGCTACTAAAAAGGCAGCTATAGCATGGAGTGGCACGTAATTTGCGGCGCAATATTTTCAGTTTTAATATTAACCCTTATCAAAATAAATGTAATTATTACTAGGAGAATGGAATATAGATTAAAATTATTTTTACCACTATATATTTCTGACAAATAGTTTAGAAGATATCACAAACAATAAGAGTAACCGAAAAGTTTGTTCGCGGGTCGGGCGTGCCCGTTTTTACAAGGGTTTTATTACTTAACAAACGGTACTGATGTGTACTGATATGGTAGAACAGAGATCAGACATATCTTCGCCACCCGGGGAAACCCGGGCGGCTTACTAGTGTTAACGTTAGTCTAAAATGCTGAAATTATAAATTAAAATAAAGAATGTTGTTCAGGTTTTTATTCGTGGTTATATACATTACGATCATGGTTCACTGGGTATCGTTATCTACGGTTGCTATGGACTGCATTGCCGTTGGATTCTACATGCAAGCGCAACTACAACTGCAAATGTTAAAGTACAATTTCATGCATCTAGCTGATCCAGAAGATGAGATCAATGATGAAGATAATGATACATTTGGAGTAAAAATATACAGAGATTTAGAGAGTACACGATTTGAGAATTTGTTCCGCAGGCGATTGATTATGTGCATAAAACGTCAACAACTGATTGTTTGGTAAGGTTCTTTTTGACGACACAAATATTTACGCAAAAGAAATATAAATAATTTTAGAAGACATGGCGTGGCACGATTATTGTAGACTTAGCATCGAAATGATATTTTTAACATTACTTTTGTTGTTGAGTTCCTTGTAGTTTTTTAAAAACCTAGTTACTTGGTTGGAAATTTATTTTCATATTTTGTTTCTACACACAGGCTAGTCGATGAAGTTGAATCAATATTTGGATCATCAATGGTTCTGCAATTCCTAGTCATGGCCTGGATCATCTGTATGACTGTTTATAAGATAATTGGTGTATGTTCCTATGTTATAATATAATTAAATAAATACTAAATGAATCTGTTAATATGAAGTTACTTTTCAGTTGAATGTGATGTCAGCGGAGTTCGTCACAATGATTGTGTATTTGGGCTGTGTGTTGCTACAATTATTACTCTTTTGCTACTACGGAACACAACTTAAATATGAGGTAATTGAATTGTAGTACTGAGACAAATTAAAGATCTTTCTTTTAATTGACGTTAAAGAAAAAGAAGGAAAGAGAAAACCAGTTGTTTATTAATATTTCATGCATCCACAGAGCGAGTACGTAAATCAATCGATCTACGAGTGTGATTGGCCGGCGGTGTCGCCGCGTCTGCGTCGCCCGCTGCTCATAATGATGGAGCGCTGCTACCGGCCCATTGCACCCTGCATTGCTTACGTGGTGCCCATGTCACTCGATACTTTTATATCTGTGAGAACCCCATTTCTAATCTATTAATAGTTCCACAATAAGGATGGTCTCGACAAACTAAGATTTTGATACAATAATTTTTATATATTGATTTGCATTTTTTTTTTATAATATTTCTTAAATATGATCAATAATGACAACAGGTAATTTTTTTCTGGTATTCACAAAATAATCGTGTTATTATCATCAGCTCACTATACGTCCCCACCCTTCTATATTTTAGGAGCCTAACCTAAGTTAGGGGTAACTATGCCATAGTCAACCACGTTGGCCAAGTGCGGGTTTATTGACTTCACACATAACTTTGAATTTCTTTTCAAATATGTGCAGGTTGCATCACGATGTTTTCCTTCACCGTAAGAACGTATGTAAATGTGAAATCGAAAAACACATTGGTACATGGCGGGATTAGGACATGCAGATTGCAAGTCAAGGGCTTAACCCCTGAACCATCGACGTTCTGGCTCGTAACCGACGCTAATAACCGTGTATATAAGATTTATTTGTTAAATTTTGTCTCAGGTCAGGTGTATTTATTATACACGTGATATCTTATTTTAGCACCCATGTGATGTTTCGTGATTTTTTCGGAACGTGTCTCCCTCTTTCAAGCCTTACGTGATTAATGGACGATCCTAAACAAAGAGGAAACGTAAAACTCTATCTGCTAGTTTTGTCGTTGGTGTTAAGTTATTCTGTGTGCTATATTTTCCAAGTTTTCACTGGATTGCCTAGAAATTGAATGATTGAAGTTCTTTTTAACGAAAGAAATTATGTGGCTTACTAGAATGTATATATTGGTAATAAAAATTCGTTTTTTTTTCAGATAGTGAAGTCAGCATATTCGTTGTACACGTTTCTGGATCAGAGTTAAATTTTTAACTGTAGTCATGTAATAAGATTTAAAATGATACATTATACAGTTATTTGATTTCAATTTCATGTTATGTTTAAAGTTAAGATTACCGCGGTTATTTTTATGCTTTAATATATTTGCAATGAATTAGAAAAGTTTATAGCATTAAAAATAAAGTATGTAGAGTTTGAGATGTTTTATTTGACCAGCTTTTGGTTATTCTTATAGTAACAAGAGTCAAATATTCAGAAATAATTTGCCCATTTTGAGGAATATGAAGTCACTGTCACAAGAAAAGTTGTAGCTATTCCGTCTTCATATAACCTGGAATATTTACTTTATTCTTTATTTAATATATCATTTATTGTTGATGTTCCACGCTGTTATAAAAATACTTAATTTTCTCATTATTTTCAAAGAGATTGGAGATGTGTTTGACGTCGGTGTTTAGCCAATAAAAACCAACTATGTGACAAAACATGTGCTTGTAATATTAAAACTTAATCAGTAGTCTGTTATGGCGTTGTAAAGTATTAAGTGCTTATTATGAAGAAGTTATAGGGTTAACGCGGACATATCAACTCCTCGCTAAACCCCCGCATTCGCAATAACCGCGGCATCCACTCGTCGCCGCCTTGTCTTCACAGATGGAGCAGGATGTAGATATCTATATATTTATTAGCAAACTATATGTAATTATCGCTTGCAAGGGTGGACGAAGCGTAGAATGACGTATCCATAATTTTGTTTATCTTTATCCCGCTCAATCGGCGGCGTCGATGTGGCGAAAAGTGAAACACCGCGGGAATGCAAGACGGCGGTGGCGGTGCCACCGGAAGATTGTGGAGTGCAGCAATGCGTGTTAACCTTAATTTTAAATAGTACTTCATGTTTGAACTATTACAACTATTGATAATAATTAGTGTTACTATGTTTTCTTTTATTATTTTACTATTTATATTATTAATGTTACTGTTTATATAGGGTGTGAATTTTATTATTAATGAAACTAAATATTATACGTAAATATAATTTTGCCATATATTTAACAATATTTTAGCCTAAATATGTTTATATAAGAAATTAATGTTACTTATGTACCTATTTTATCCTCACAACAAAATGTAGTTTCATTTACCATGAGTTTCTAAAACCAAAATCTTTGTAGAACATATCATCATCCCTGTCATTATCTTTGACAAAACAGAGATAACAATATGTTTTAAACGGGAATTTTATTCTCAATCCCAGAATTAGACAAATTGTCCATGGTTAAGGGTTTGACTAGGAACCATATCTATCTTTGTTACTTTTACGTATATTATTTAAGTGCGAATTTTTAGATTGATGTACGGATGGCAGTTTGTTTGAAGGCATGTACGGAACGGCTCAACGGATTTTGATGAAATTTGGCACACATGTAGAACACAGTCTGGATGAACACATTGGCTAATTATTAAGTATTTTTTTGTTACCTCCGCGCGGAATCGCGGACGATAGCTATAAACGCCCAAATAACCACGCTTTCAACTGGCGTTGGAACCCGCCTATTATAGAATTTAAGCAACCTTTTCAACCTTATTCTTCTTACTCATTTTACCTTATTTTTGCATAATTGTCTATTTTAATATTTGGATGTTCTTCCGTGATATGCAACGGATTTGGTTACATCCTGTAAATATTGAATATCGCTATTGGTAAGTGTGCGTTAGTAAATAGTTATAAATAATTCAGGCATTGTTGATGTAAAAACATTGTTGGTTATTATTGTAAGTCGTAAACATGAAAAGTAGTTTTGACGGTTTTAAACCACATTTCAAATATTTGGTTTTGACGGGATGTTACAAGATGCTGGACAGGCCAACCTCTAAAATAAAAGTAACTTTGTACGCATGTTATAGAATATTCGTTACCGTTACATTCTTTATTTTTCTGTTACAACATGTAATACGTCTCATACAGGCAAGTTAAATTAACATTAATTACCCAAAAGAAAAGTGTGAAACTTTTATAAATATAAAAACTACTAAAATCTTGCTTGATAGGATAGTTGTGAGGGATCTTGCCAATAAAACTATTATTTCTCACATTCCAGGTTCTTTATTGCAGACGCATGTTCTTACTTTTTTCTTAAAAAGTCACTTATTTTTGACATATATATGTTCTTACAAAATATCGTTACGGCCAGTGTTCTAAATAGGTTTTAATCTACAACAGTAGTAGTTGAATGTTTGTTTACCGAAAAGATAAAGCAAAAAATATGTTTCGATATGCACATTTTTTTCAGATTCGAAACGAAGTTGAAGAAGTAATAAATACATTGTACGTGTTTCTTACACTTTTGAACTCTGTGTGCAAAATGCTCATTCTCAATATCCGAAGTGAACGAATTGAACATATTGTTGAAGTTATTAAGGGTAATTATTGTACCATTTTACTGCGTAGCATTAAGGTAGCACTGCTACTATATGTAGTGTAACTTCTACGCGGTAGACTTACTACGACGTAGTACTATTACTTTTTTTATATCATAAGGTGGCAAACGAGCGAGCGGCTACCTGAAATCGCTGAAATAGCGAAGTGACCGTTGCCCAGAGACATACGCTATTGCATATGCGTTGCCTACCTTTAATCGACGGAGGAGAGGATGCACTGAAAGAAAATATTTTCCCTTTCCATGCATCCTTTCATCCGGAAAGTCCATTTCCACTTCCTATCCTTTTCTTATAAATAAAAATAGAAAAAGGATGGGAAGGGAAAGAGGACTAAATTAGGCCTCCGGGACGCACACTCATCAGACAAAACGCGAAATTGCTTCCAGTTCACGCCTGTCTTCTGCGTGGTCGTGGTATTTCACCGGGCGAGCCGGGCCAATTCGTGCGATGTTAAAGCGGGCTCTACCACTGTTGAACTACCTTTTATTACCTAGTCACCTACTTAAATCCTATAACTAAGTAAACAAACCTATATTACAGGACCAATTTTTGCTGCACGTAACAAATATCAAGAAGAACTCGTCCATCGCAACGCAGTATCAATGTTGCGAGTATTAAGAACAGACTTAGGCGTTTCAATGTTTTGTTCTGTCTTGTGGATGATATTTCCTTTAATGATTCGTCTTTCCGGCCAAGAAGTACGATTTAGCATGTACTTTCCGTTCGAAACAGACAAATTTCCCGTGTAAGTAAAATATCGACAAAAGAGCCCACAAACCTTATTACGATTACTTATAGGAAAGTCATCGAAATCTTAAGTAAAGGGCCCTTCGAATAAATCTGTTTATTTCATTGAAGTTAAGGATACTTTGAGTAAATAATATTATATCATTTTAATTATCGTTTGATTCCTAAAGATTAGATGGTTATTATGAAAATTAAATCCATTGGAGCATTTAAGTTTTTTTTATTAAAAGAAGGTTTACAGGTTTATATCGGTGGTTGTGTATGTTGGATCAATAGTACATTGGGTGTCATTGTTCACTCTGTCAATAGACTGTATCGTTGTATCCTTGTACATGCAAGCACAGTTACAATTGCAAATGCTAAGAGATAATTTAACACATCTCGCTGACGTAGAAGACGATGACGAAAATGACAAACTGACAGTTAAGATGTACAGAGATGTGGAAAAGATAAGGTTTAAGGATTTGTTTTACAGAAGATTAGTCATGTGTAAGAAACGACAAGAGCTGATTGTTTGGTATGAAAGTATAATAGTTTTTTATATTTATTTTTACTATTAGTTAACCCTAAGTTAAGAGGGGGCCCACAATCAACCACGCTGGCCTGGTGTGTATTGGTTGACTGCACATATGGTTGCATCACGATGTTTTCCTTTACCGTAAGAACGTTGGATAAATGTATGTATTAAAAACACATTGGCGCATGGCGTGTTTCAAACCCAGAACCTACAGATTACAAGTCAAGTCAACTGGACCATCGCCGCTCTATGCTATTCTAAGGGTCAAATTTTCTATATTTCTCATGCAATTTAATTTGTACGCAGGCTAGTCGATGAAATAGAGTCAATATTCGGTACTCCAATGGTTTTGCAAATGTTAGTGATGGCCTGGATCATCTGTATGACTATTTACAAGATAGCTGCCGTATGTTATTACTTTCTTTTTGAACTAAAACTTGTAAAAATTTAGCGATTCTCTTAATTAAAGTTTTTGATGTGCACTTTCAGATAAATATATTATCAGTGGAATGTTTAGCAATGGTTGTATATTTGAACTGTGTTTTGTTCCAATTATTTATCTACTGCTACTTTGGGACGCAACTTAAATACGAGGTAATTATAGAGATGTGTCACTGTTTACCATCTTTGTACTCCAGCATTGCACGATCCCGTTCGTAGGTTAAAGGACTGCTTATATTAAAGTATTATTAAGAGAAATGTCAATTTGAAAAAACGTTTTGCAGAGTGAGTACGTGAATCAATCGATCTACGAGTGTGATTGGCCGGCGGTGTCGCCGCGTCTGCGTCGGCCGCTGCTTATAATGATGGAGCGCTGTTACCGGCCCATTGCACCCTGTATTGCTTACGTGGTGCCCATGTCACTCGATACTTTTATATCTGTGAGAATTATACATAGATAATTTATATTTAGGGAAAAGTAGACAAAGAAAAGATCATTTATTCTCTGTTGCTTGTGGTGGCTTTACAGGAGTTGACCCTAGTGGTTTATGTACGCTTTGGAATTGTTTAATAAAAAAATCATGAATGAAACGTCTTATTAATTAGCGTTTGTCTTTCACAGGTGGTGAAATTCTCATATTCATTGTACACATTTCTGGATCGAAAATAACTTTGAAAGTCGTCGATCCTAATTTTAGTAACGACAAATTATAACTTAAGCTAATTTGATATCGAATGGAACCATCAACAAGGAATGGACATTTTTTTATTCTTTTTCACAAATCGTAATCAGTAACGGCACGAATTTTAATTAACATATAACAACTAAAACTGTATTAAACTTATTTTAACTCTTTTGAATAATTTATATCTTAATTGTCACATTTTATGTAGAAATAAATAGAAATAGAAAGTATTTATGAAATTATTTAACATTTTTTTCTCTTTTTCCTTATCACCTGTGTTATCTATCAATCGTTTAAAAGGCTCCAACTTCGGACATCTATTAAATTGTAATAACGTTCTAAATATATGAGAGTTTATACTTAATTAAAAAAAATGAAAATAATTCACTAACTTCATTATGCCAGTAAAACATAAACGGTTATGTTGGGCCATGAAACTATTGCTACTAAGTAAGACTTGTCGTCATGGAAAAACTTATAACATTGGTTTTGTCCAAAATTTTTACTAGTTGGAAAAGAATTGAGGTAAAGCTACTTGTTGTTACTGTTGAAGGAGGAAGATTAAATAATCACTCATGTTTACGTGACAATTGTTTTATTTAAACTGCTCGTGACGAATGTCATGGAGAAATACCAACGGCACTAAAAGTTGTAAAATATTTTTTTATAGAATTATGTATTAAATTCTTGTAGGAAATTAACCGCTAAAGTTTCGAATTTATAATTATTTTTGTATAATAACATACTGTATAGAAAGTACTGATAAATAGCATAGTTATTATATTAACAAAGACCGCAAGTTTATACATTCTTTTCAAAGCAAACATTGTAGGAATTTTATTTTCTTTGTTTTTCATGTTTCTAAAAAGCATGAAAAATAGTTTGTATTTTACAACTTTACTTTATTTTACAACTTCAAGAAGATTTTTTCATGTGTTCATGTAACATGTAACTAAGTTTTAAAGGTTTATTATGATTTTTTGCAAAATCAATTTCGGTGGTCCAGGTCAAATTCAATGACATTAAAAATCTTGTAAATATACATTGAAAATCAATGAGCGGGCTGACTGGACCATATTACTCGTTCAGGTGCGACCATTTTGACGTCTCTAAAATTAGTGTGTCCTTTGTCTGGCGTCCTCCAGAAGTATTTCGCCGTAGACCGTAGAAGAGTGGTAGAACCCGCTTTAACATCTTCCCACGAATTGGCCAGGTTCGCCCGGTGAAATACCACCACCACACAGAAAACAGGCGTGAAGTGGAAGAAATTCCGCGTTTCGTCTGACGAGTGTGCGTCCCGGAGGCCTAATTTAGTCCTCTTTCCCTTCCCACCCTTTTCTTATAAGGAAAGGATGGGAAGTGGAAGTGGACTTTCCGGTTGAGAGGATCCATGGAAGGGGAATATATTTTCTTTCTGTGCATCCTCTCCTCCGTCGATTAAAGGTAGGCAACGCATATGCAATTGCGTGTGTCTATGGGCAACGGTCACTTCGCTATTTCAGCGATTTCAGGTGGCCGCTCGCTCGTTTGCCACCTTATAATTTAAAAAAAAGACTATTGTTGAGCCTAGGCGTGTCCTCTAAGTCATAGGTTTCAAGGCCGAGGATCGAGGTCTACCGTGCGAAGTGGTATTTAAGTAAACAACATAATTGATGTTAATTGCGACCATTACTTTGATAACTAAAAGAAAAATTAACACTTGTATATTGTATGTTTCTATCATTATAATATTATACAGGGTGAGTTAGTACTTTTTAAACGTCATTCCCCATTTCAGAATTATATACCATTTCACATTTCATAATTTTATAAAATCATTTATCTCTGCATTGTATATTAAAATTCTATATGTTTTTGAAAATGAAAGTCTGTAATTATAAAACCAAAAAAATATATATATTACTTTATAATCTTTAAAAAGTAATTCAACGTAAATAATGCAGAAATCAAAAAAAATCACGTGATTTTTCGGGTCTTTTGCGTATAGTTCTTGATATATCTATCACCCTGTATTTGCATATTATAGAATTAACTATAGTGGAGTCAATTAAAAATGACCTCGGCAAATATTTTTATAGCACAATATATTACTTTATACTTTGAAGTAAAGTTACATTTCTTTACATTTTTAAAGAAATACTTTTTTTTTTTAAATGACACAGCTAACCACGAACACGAATAAAAATTTCGAAGCTTTTGTACCCCACTTTGAATCATTTGCAAATTTTGGATATTATAAAATGATCAATAAACCAACTTCGAGAATCAAAGAAATTCTACATTATTACTATCGAATATCAGTTTGGGTTATTTTTATGGTGTACAATGTACAACATCTTATACGAGTAATTGAGGCAAGTTAACATATTAAAAACAAGATAAATCAGCTTAATACGACGTTCTCATTAATGTAAATAACAAAAATATGATTCGCAGATCAGGCATAATATCATGGAAGTTGTGAACACGTTGTACTTCTTCTTAACATTATTGAACTCAATGGGCAAGCAAATGGCTTTTAATTTCCGTACGAAACGTGTTGACGAGATCGTAGATACAATCAAGGGTAAGCTACATATGACAAATGCAAAACAAATGGATGCACATTGTACATGCATATGTACAAAATTTTGTAAATTTCAATACTTACTCATAATAAATTCGTTTATGTGCAACCTGTATAACATTATAAGATCAAGCTCACTAAGTTGGTGTAATACAAAAACAGGTCCGGTTTTTGCTCCAACTAATAAATACCAAGAGAAGCTGATAACTCGTAACGCTGCAGAGATGATGGTGCTGTTGAGATGCTATCAGGTGTTTGCGGTGTTCTGCTGCGTCATGTGGATGACGTACCCAATTATGATCCGAGCTTCTGGAGAAGAGGTGTCGTTCAGTATGTACTATCCTTTTGACACCAATAAACAGCCGGCGTAAGTTTTACTTTGGTATCTAGCAGTAGTAACGTACTCTGATTTCGCTCGGGCGATAAACTGATGGTAAAGAAACATTTCAAGCTTATAGTTTTTGACTTTATTAGGTCATAAACAGATAAATCTTTGTATTATTGGTAGAGAAATATGGAATAAATATTATTCGTAGTCAAACACTTTATACTTAAGTAGAAAATTCTCATAGTCGGCAATTTAAAATGTAACAAAATGTTAATCTTGTCATGGTAGTAATATACGTGGCTATACACGTTGCATGGCTCGGCCTCGCTACTGTATCTATGGACTGTTTGATTGTCGCATTCTACATGCAAGGCAGATTACAATTACAAATTCTAAGAAATAACTTACGACATCTGGTGGATACTGAAGACGAAATAGAATATGGCGATGATGATGAATGTGACATCATACCACATAAAGAAATTCACAGTGATAAATTTAGAGATTCAAAGAAGATTGGTTAAATGCGTAAAACGTCATCAACTGATTGTATGGTACATCTTTAATTGTTTTTAGTTCTTTAACAAAATACAAAAACAGATTTAAAGATATCAAGAAGATAGTCGGCGGTAAACGCAATCAGCTAATTGTATTCTACATTTTGACATTATTTTAGGTTCATCGATGAGACTGAATCAATCTTTGGTGAAGCATTGGTCATGCAGTTTTTGGTTATAGCTTGGATCATCTGTATGACTGTTTACAAATTAGTTGCTGTATGTATATATTTTTTTTAAATTGCACACAAAGTAGTACCTTTGTAATGTTACAATTTGCTTCCAGGTGGAAGTTCTATCAGCGGAATTCTTCACAATGATAATTTATTTGGGCTGTATGTTGCTGCAATTGTTTATATTCTGTTACTATGGAACACAACGTACCAATGTCAATCGACAGTTTTATTTCTGTGAGCATACTATTGTAATTGCTTAATATTTTTTTATTACAAATACAGGATGTTCTGTAATGAAGGGATCTATGCAAAATATGTTTTACGCACATGTATTTTAAAAAGCAAACTTTTTACGGGATTACGGTGAGCGCATGTTCTTACTGTGTGCCAGATGAATGCCAGGTATACCAACTATTGATGGAGCAAGGCATATGCCTAATATTTCAGTATTCCTAAACCTGTTTGAAATGTGTAAATAATTTTACACATTGAAAAATAAATAATTTTAATATTATATATTTTATATTTTCAGATCGTGAAGTCTTCGTATTCACTTTACACATTTTTGGATCGAAAATAGTTGTACATAAATTACATTTTTAGTGTTTTGATTCTATTTTTTGCCATTTTTCTTGTCACATGGATATGCAGCATGATAAATGTAAACTTTATATTATCTTTCACTCTTTCTAATTCTAATTAATTTTGTTAAACTTAAATATTGCCACATAAGTATAAGGAAAGGTTTTTTTTTATAATTTGTCACTTGATTCCAATTTTCCAATGCTATGAATTGCTTATGATTAAAAATCACATTATGTATATACGTGAAAATAAGAAGCGTTTCTCGTTTTTTGGCTTTATCAATATTATTTTGTGGTTTTGAAAGTAAATTTTTCATCCTTTACAAATAACTTTCAGAAATACAGTACAGTAATCAATAAATATCGCTTTCCCTTGGACTCTACAAAACAACGACAATAGTGCGAGGTCCTCGTGAATAACTAAAACCAAATTTAACAGACACTTAATTATAATATAAACGTGACTTGTTCTTTTCTAATTGTCAACATGCGAAAATTAACGCCTTGGTGTATTTAATATTTTGTGTAAAGTTATATACAGGAGGTAATAAAAGATATTACACAAAATATAAAAGTAATTTATGAAAGAAATACATCATTGAAAATACTTATGACAATTTAATTGTTAAACAATTTCAACTTGTAATCTTTTAGTTTATGCATTAAAATTTTGATTTATATAACGATATAAACATGTTTCTTTTTACATTGGACAAAGCTTCGAAAAAGTATTACATTGTCCACGTAAACAGTAGGTTGTACCTTATTTAAAAGAAAATTGTGAACAAAAAGTAATATTTACTGTTCAATATACATATAAAGGTTTGCTGGTGATAGGGAACTTTCTAATAACTGCCAATCCAATTAGAATTAACGCCAACAGTTAAAAAAGAGATTATCTATAATAACTTAAAAATATATTCATAAACTTATTATTGAATTACTTAACTCTATATTAATTATTAAAATTGTTATCGGAACAATATCTGATATTCATAAAATATAATTTGTTATTTACACATTGTAAATAAAAAATATAAATCAATAATTTTGACAGATCCCACAAAATTTCATCATAATTTATCAACCTGTATAGCGCTGTATGATAAATTCGTTTGAATTTTTAGTGGCTTGTGTAGGTTGATACATTAATGGGGACTTCAGATATGTATTTCAGACAAAGTGGCGACAAATCATATCTTTTTTTATCACCATAATCATGTACAGTAGTTTCGATGCTTTCAAGCCGCATTTTAATGCTTTGGCAAGAGTTGGATATTTTAAAATGGTTTTTAAGTCGTCTTCTAAAATTAAGCAAACCTTGAACATATATTACCGTGTTTTTGTTTGGTTTTTTGTTATTTTATATAATTTACAACATGTTTTACGTGTAATTCAGGCAAGTTTAATTGAATTATCGATATTTGTACCACTTGTAAACACAAAATAATTCTAAGACTTATTAATTAACACATTTAATGCCAATTACACGGCGTCGTGGAGACGTATATGTCCAAGTTCAAGACGCCTTGGACACTTACTACATTCATTATCTAAAAACTGCATTCAAGGATACATCTTACAACAAGCCTTAAAATTCGCAAAATTGATATTTTATTTTTCTCAGGTCCGGCACAGCACAGATGAAATTGTGAATACATTATTCATTCTGCTAACAACCCTAAACTCCTTGGGCAAACAGGTCGCTTTTAATATGCGCACAGCGCGCATCGATCGTCTTATTAATATAATTAACGGTAAAATTCTAAAGTACATCGTAATGACAATAACTTGACACTCGCATTAGATTATTGTGCAGCGCTTGATTTGATACGTCTGGCAGTAAAGATTATTTACGTTCTTTATTTTTTTTTTCTATTAAACTTTTTTTTCGCATATTTGCATTGTGCTCCAGAAATCTTGTAACTTATCTTGTGTGTGATAAATACGCAGATATATTTAGAACTGCTAATAGTTTCTAAGCGTCTTTGTTGCAGCGCGATAATACAAAAATTAGAACAAAGAATAAGACTGCAGTCGTCTCAATCTCTCATAAAAAATTCTGGCAGCAAACATTGCGAAAAAAACTATGAAATCCTTCTCAATCATCATAAAACTAATAAGTTACTAATGCACAATACTATATATGTGTATAGTTTAACTTTGCAACACTGTAAATACTCGACAAAGAAAAATGCCTTTTTTCTTTAACACGATAGACAGTTGCGTACACAAAATAATTTCTTATGAGCTATAGTTTTATAGCCTAACAGTAATTTGAAAATCTTACGACTACATCCAGGATCCTTTTTTGCCCCTGGCAATAAGTACCAAGATGACGTCATGAGGAAGAACGCTACGTCCATGCTACGACTGTTACGTATGTATCACTGTGCGATATTCCTATGTGCTTTCATGTGGACGATATTTCCCCTTGTCAACCACGCTTTGGGAGAAAATGTTCAGTTCACTGGATACTTTCCATTTGATACCAGTAAGACGCCAATGTAAGTAAAGATTCTTTCAATCTTTGTCTTCAATAAAATCTAAAAGAACTTAAAGATTATTATCACTTTTAATTTAAACGTAACTATTAGAAGTGATGAAGTTTTCAACAAATTTTCCTGCCCTTGTCTCACTAATTTAGGGTAAGCGCACCATATAATGTCCTCTGACATTTCAATCTTTTCTCACGCAATTCATCCATTTTTCTTTCTAGTATAAATAATATAATTTTATACTGAGATTTTCTAAAGATCAAATTTAATTCAATAATTTAGATCCATGATAGTGATTTCTTGACTTTTTCCAGATTTGAATTAACAGTTGCATACATGTCCATACTAATAACACAACAAGCGTACGGCAATGTTACAATGGATTGCACTATTGTTGCATTTTATGCACAAGCAAAAACGCAATTGCAAATGTTAAGATACGATCTTGAGTATTTATACGATACAGATGGAGAAAATAATAAAGATATTCACAAAGTTGTATTAAAAACTTACAAGGATGTTGAAAGCATAAGATTTAGAAGATTATTGCAAAGGAAATTTGTAACGTGTATACAACATCATCAACAGATTTTATGGTAAAGTGCTACATTATTTCTTCTATCACCATTATCAACTAAACGTCACTGACAGATAGAAGAAGCCTTCATTTGGCATTTTCAAATATCTAGTCGCCCTGACTAGATAATTGCAGCCAAACTAGTGACTAAATTTTATAGAAACGCAAATTTAATAATTTGCAGGTTTGTTAAGGAAGTACAGTCAATATTTGCGGAAGCCATGGTCGTACAATTCTTCGTCATGGCGTGGGTCATCTGTATGACCGTCTATAAGATAGTGGGGGTACGTATTTTTATCAAATAGTCAAGTAAAGTAAGTAATAATGTGTAACATATTGTTCTCAGCTTAGTATACTGTCAGCGGAGTTTTTCTCGATGGCCATGTATTTGGTGTGTATGCTGGCACAACTCTTTATTTACTGCTACTATGGAACTCAACTTAAATATGAGGTCAATATTTTAAACTTACTTTAAGCAATAACTTTAGATTAAAAATTAACTACCACTATCTCTCTACTACTTTTACAGGATGCCTCGGAATTTTTAAAAGCCATTGTTCTAAGGCCTAAGACTAGCTACTTACCCTACATACCTTATAAACAATTATGTTGATTTTTAAATACTTAATTATTAGTTTAATGTAATGTGTTATTGCAGAGTGAATGTGTGAATCAATCAATCTACGACTCTGAATGGATATTGCTATCCCCAGCGGCGAGGCGTCACCTCCTCATCCTGATGGTTCGCTGCTCGCGCCCTCTAGTGCCGAGCATAGCTCACATTGTGCCCATGTCTATCGATACTTACATTTCTGTAAGAATTACATTTACAACTAACGATTGCTTATCTATGTTTGTAATAGTCATCGTAACACTAAATTTTCCCAAGAAAATTGTTACCTATTTGTTTTTTTTTTCAGATTCTCAAATCTTCATATACATTGATCACTTTTTTGGATCGAAAATAATTTTCGAAATTAAAAATGATATATTATGGACTGTGTCTTTGTTGGTCTGCTGATTTGAAGAATTTTTCATTTATAAAAGTTTGTTTCCTATACATTTTTTAAATCTCAATAAAGATAAAACAATTAAAACCTTTTGTATAAAAGTATATATAAAAAAATCCTAAATTTTTTTGGTATGCAATGTTAAGAAAATGTTAAAGATTTACGTGTAAAATAATCATATTATTGTACACGTAAATCATTTCATAAACCAATTCAATATAACATGAGAAAAGCTTGTAATGTTGGTAATAAATTCTTTCGCATTTGCTAATATGTTTTCCTTCACATCCCTCACCGTACTGTTACGTTAACAAATCACTGTCAAAAGTTATAATTTATTCAACTCAACACAAAGCGCATTTTACGGATATGTTGTTTATCGCGGGAGCAGAGGCAGAGGTCGCTCGTAAAATTGACCACTGTTTGAATGACTGTGTCGACGCCGCGCCGCCAGGCCGTGTGAGTCAGCAAGTCAGTCGCCTCGCGATTTACGCTGCGGATCGAATCATTGCGGTTACGTTTTATAAACATAAAACAGCAATTACGCTCGGAAGAGTAATTTACAGATAAAACTTTCGTTTCAGTTGTCCGACAGATTTCATACTGAAATTTCATTGATCCCGAAACGCTGTCATCCGTCGGAATTTAATTTGAAATAAACGGATCGACCTAAAAGTAAACATTTTATATCGTATCATATTCTTGTGCGATATAATCGTCTGCGAAATACCGTGGAAGCTTTTGCTGCGACGAGCGATCGGTCGACCGGCGCGCGCGCAGCCAGACAATTCAGGAGCCCGCCTCTCAGTGCTCCGTACGTCGTAAGTGCTGAAAGTCGTGTAAAAAGTAGTATCCGGCCGCGAATAGCGCGTGTGGAATTCCGTTTATAAATACACGGGTGTGCGGGAGTAGCGAGCGAGCGAGCGTGCGCGGCGAGCGGTGATGTTCGGCGCGTCCCGATGATGTTCATGGGCGGGGGGGCGCGCAGGCGCACGACGCCCGCGCCGCCGCGCGCGCGCGCCCCCGTCCAACGCCTTCACGCCGACAACGTAAGTCTTACTGGTACCGATACTAGGGTTGTTACCCTACATCTTGAACTTTGTTCGTGTCAACATTATATTATTTTTTAGGTTTAGTAAAAGTTGAAAAGCTTTAAAAGCCTTCAAGGGCGGAATCGAGATTGACTTTATTGTTTATGTATATGGGGACGTGTTTATAATCGTTTTCTCTTAGTTACGATAAAAGCGAAAAATTTGGTAACCTTACTGTACTTAATGTGCTTTCAAAATTCTCAATTAGGTTGCATTGCGACCCCCTTCACCGACGAGCCCGCAGCCGCATGCGTGTGTCATACAGCGACCGACCACGATATCTCTGTTTATTTACATTGTCTTAGTTTCATTCATGCTGTGGCGGCCATGCTTTATTTACGTAACAAACTGAATGATTAACACGTACCATCGGTAAGCGATAAATTGATTCATTAAAACAATGTTTACAAACGAGAATTATTTTGAATACGAATATTTTATTTTAACTTTTTATGAATCATCAAAACACACAAAAACGTAAAATCTCAATGCCTTTTTGTTTGTTCAATAATCAATTGGTTGGTGTACTTAGTGCCTCCCCTTTATGATAGAAAAGAATAAAGATCTCGCTAGATCCGCGAGTGTCACTTTGCCCTAGTGATACGTGTAAATAAACAACTGACCATCAATACACATAAGATAGAACGAGTTCTGTCCAATCTCTTACACAAAGAGAAAAAGTGTTACTGAGAGCAACCCCTTTTGTTAAACAGCTGTCATAGCCGCTTGTTCTTTCATTATTTCAAATACAGTTAGTGAAAATATTTTCAACAATGTAATAAACTTTAATTGAAAAACTTGTTGCCATTTTCTCGTACGTGTTCGATTAATATGATTATCGACGATACGCGACGTCCAACATAGCAATTTCATCAAACGTTTTGCGGTTGGTTCCTTCTATTTATAGACGTGCATTTACCGGCCGATGGGCTTCCAAGCAACCTTGGTACCCTTTATTGATGCCTGTTCATCACGAGCCAAATTGTCTCATTGCGTTACAATATATGTTTCGAAAAGTCAATGTATTCTTGGTTTTTCTAAAAGTCGAGTTCCATGAGTTTTTTTTACTATTTACGTTTAATTTACTAGCTAATGATACCCCGACAAAACTTTTAGGCGATGGGCACACAAACAATGAGTCGCAATTACATTTTCAAGTGCAAGAGTACATATATTTTGGCTATTCGATGCGCATTTTGCAACGTACATTCATACTATCTTGCCAGGGAATGTACAAAAAAAGACCTTGAGTTTGAGACAATTTCAGTGTTGATGCATATGTGACGTTTGTTACTATTATAATATATATTAGTAAACAATAATATTCGTCGTATCACACACGTACATAACTTTTTCTACGAAAAAGATATGCAGACACTACATATTTACATTTAATGCGATCCCAATGTACATAAGTCTATATTTCCTGATGAACCTGCGTTTAATATCTTTCTCTATCAATTTCCACTAGAATTTCACAAACCTACTTATTAATCAATAAAAGTTTTACCATACATAATGGTTGGTTGAAAATGGAATTCGCCGCATTCGTTCCTCGGAGTTACTACAGCACACGAATACGCGATTCCACGCTCAATTGCGAATATTCTTGGCCACGTATCATTTTACGACGCGCCGCAAATCGGATTATGAAAGTACTACAATAAACTCAAAACAACCGTAAAAGCGAACCGAGTGAAGTCGGCGGCGAACCGCCAGCACGAACGCTTCGATTGTTGTCAAAGGTTTGCTCGTAATGTTGACTGTAAAAAAATAAAAGCATGAATCACCTAAAGATAAAGCTCGTGCCAAGTTTTCGCGGCAATGTCGAATTGTTGTTGATAAATAAATTTGAAATAAACCAGACTGTTTTTAAAAAATACAATATATTGAACTCATTTGAGAGTTTTATCACATAACATACGTGGATAAATAAAACCGATGATTTATGGTTCTATTGAAATTCCATTAACAAAACATGAAAATACTTAAAGTGTTTAAATTGAAACAGTCCTATGGTATCTAAATTTTCTGGTTTTGGCTGTAATTTTATTTAGAGATGGATCTGAAATAACGACCTTTAAAGATTTAAAAAGAAATGATTATTTAAAATCAATCAACGTTTTAACATCCCTATATACATAAACAATAACGATTGCAAAAACGCGCTGAACGATTCCAGTTTCGTCTTAACTTTTTAATTAGTTTACATAATATGAAACGACTGATTTTACTCAGAATTTTAAATACCAAAAGGTGATACACATTAATTCCATAAGTAATGTTTACATGTTCCAGTGGTTCCCAGAGGCGCGCGGGGCCTGCGGGGCGGGCGGGACTTGCGGACCAAGCGAAGTGCGGCGCTCCCGCGGCAAGCGCATCACGCAACGGCGAGGCGCCATCAAACACCACAAGTGAGAAACATTTTTGACACATGACATACAGAGTTATTAGGTTATTCGTAAGAGGTAAAGGAATAAGTTGGACTCCTGAAGTTATATCACATTGTTGGGAGAAAGGACAGCCTGACGACTTGGCCTTTTTCCAGTCTAACCTTTCGAACCGGGCAGATAACGGCAAAACCTGAAACGGAACCATATTAAGTAGTTGTACTTAAGAACGATTGTGTGAGCTATAAGATGGTTAACTTACTCTTCTTTAGCTTCAGCTTTACATAGTGTAGTTTAACCGTGGGCTTCTCAGACCAAAGTCCCCGTTTAAAACACATTGTTATATCTGTTTTGTCAAATATAATCACAGGGATTTGGTCTCAGAAACCAACGGTAAATATTATACTTCCCTATCTAACTTTATCACGTCCTGTCCTTGAGACTTTAAATTTATTATATTAATAAAGAAAACAATCTCAAGAATTATCAGTGCCTTAAAAACGAAATGAAATCAATCACTTCGGCCTAATTAGAACAATAAACCTGTTCAATGTTAGCAATCTCTGAACTAAATTAGCAGTGAGCGATGCAATTAATTCTGTATCGAGCATGTCACATGCCGCACATTGCTCATAATTAAAGTTAAGATCCATCTATCACCTGTGGACACACACATGTAACGCGGGTATAGGAAAGCGACACAGTTTCATAATTATATCAGCTATTCTTGAAATTTAGACTCTACTGCGAACATGATAGAGCTCTTTTTATATTGAAATAACCCTACAGAGTTAACACCTAAAGGGGTTTTGCTACGAAATTCAATTTTGTTCACGACGTCTCATTATATTCTTCAAAATCTTTGGGTTTTTGAAATCAAAATATTCCTGTAAATCAATTAGTTTGGTATGTAACGAAAAAAGTGCTTGCTTTGTGCATAGCCTTATTTACTTCTTTAGAGTAACCATATTCAAACTTTCGTGAGACATTATAATAAACTTATATAAAAACGGCTAAACACTCACGTATATTCGTTCGGTGGCGGCGCCGACTAGTTTCGAGCCCATCGGGGGCACTTCATCGGGGTTAATCGGACTGTTATTACTTCGCGAACGCGGCCCGTCGTTTACTGACACTCACTCACTCACCCTGATGAAGGGCCCCCGATGGGCTCGAAACTAGTCGGTGCCGCCACCGGACGAATATACGTGAGTGTTTCGCCGTTTTTATATATGCTTATTTAGAGTAAACATTAAAATCCCAATTGATTTCTAAAAACATATGTTTCAAAAATTATTTAATGATAAAAAACAATATTTACAAGATTTATCCTAATTGCTTTACTGAAAATGAACTTATTGTACTACGTACACGATCAAAGTAGGATATGCTTCGTTCCTTTGGGAATTAAGCTCCACAATCTTAATCCGACCTTCCATAAATGCCTAAGAATTATTTTAGATTATTTTATATTATATTAGATATTGTAAACGAAGTATACTGAAATTGTATCTGTACATTTCAGGGAGCACGAAGTGAACGGTCACCGTTTCGTCGCGAAGTTCTTCCGTCAGCCTACGTTTTGCGCTTTCTGTAAAGAGTTCCTGTGGGGTTTCGGCAAGCAGGGCTACCGCTGCGTCGTATGCCAGACCGCCGTGCACAAGCGTTGTCACAACAAACTGCTTGGGAAGTGCCCCGGCTCTAGCGCCTACTCCGAGTCTACTGTTGTTAGTATTAAACTAATCATTTTGAGTAAATTCTAGTTAGTATGACAGCGCTGGATCGGTGGTATGAAACTAAACTATGTGTCTGAACTCAAAGGTGCAAACAGGACCTTTGGAGCGCCAGGGAAACAGGTCCTTGGGGATGGCAGCTAATAAACGTACTACTTTTAAGAATAACATATTGATTTTCGCACCCTGGTGGATAAGGTTATGAAGTCCCTGAAAAGACAAAAGAAGAGATAGACAGTCGTAAGAAAATATACTCTGTTGGTATTTAAAAATTAAGTGCCCACGGTGCAACCTCACTGCTGGTTGTTGTAGCAAGAATACATTCTCTAGAAGTTTTGGGACAATCTAATAACATTGTTTAATAATAGCTAAGTGTGTACTTAGATAATTTTATTATAATAGTACAACACACACATGATATTCAGGATAAAATTTTCTTGCGTTATATGTCTTAGGTATTGTTTGAGCGAAAAAAATAAAAGACAAGATTTTGTTACAGTATCTAAGGGAGCGGTTCAAAGTGGATGTTCCACATCGGTTCCGTCCGCACCAGTTCATGTCCCCAACATTTTGCGACCATTGTGGAGCGCTCCTCTACGGTTTCTTTAAGCAAGGACTCAAATGTGAAGGTAAGAAAGAAATAATTATCTTACTGCTAATATCTTTCCGCTGGCAAAACAAATGAAAGAAAAGAAAGATCTGAATTAATTGAGATAAAATTTATCTCGTCTCTTTTATAATTAAAAAATATTCTTGTTGCAAATGTTCTTTACAGTTATATTATATTTTTCGGAAAACACGTATACTGCTTCACGAAGATGATAATTGTATATTATGTATAAAATTGTGCATGCAGTTAGTTTTATTTTTTACATTAACACATTATTATTTCTGTACCGTCTATCGGTGTGTTACTAAAATTCTCTTGCAAATGATTTATTCGTTTTGATTGTTATTAATAACACTAAACTATTTTCACTTTTAATAACCATTGACACAGATTTGATTTTCAGCACAATGCAAAGACTATATAGAGCAAGCTATTCTAATTCCATACTCTCACAAAATTACAAATATCTCTACAAAATCTGTTGTTTGCTGATATTGATTTAAAGTCAACTTGTGTGGTCGTATGGAGGATCTAAAGTTCAGTAAAGACTGCCAATAAAATCCGAAAAAATTAGATGCATTTCTGTTGTGTTTAAAGTTTTTCGCAGCATATCTACATTTTATTCGTCATCTGAAAGTTTGACGATATTTTTTCAGCGAACAGCAGATGAAAAATATTGCAAATTGCGTGCTACAGACGAATTGAAGTTGTAATAAACAAAATGTCTTCGCGTAGTCTTTTAAAAAAATGCGATACGAGCTTATATTCCTCTATTGTTATTATCAATTAATTATTTATAAGTGATAGCAGGATTGCACAACTGGAATTATCAGGTAAGTCGTTTGGGTGCTTTAGTCATTTGCAAAAACACCTACGTTACATATGGCAACTTGGATGTTTTTGCTGTCTTATTGAACAAGAATAGCCAAAGTACTGTGTTATACCCAAACTTTTTTATTTAATAAATCTAGCTTCAGCGACTTTAGTACAAATTTTCATTTAAAAAGAGAAATCAATATTGTGTTTAACGCCAAATATATTTGAAGCTTTAATAAGATAAGTTTCAAGTTACATCGAGAAAATTTTGTGCTGAAATCTCCTATTAAATATTCGCTACCATTTATCGGTGGACTTATGTTTTACTTTGTAAAAATAGATGGCGCTAGTTGCCATATCAATTTACTTGAACTATATATCTTTCAAGATTGTGTATTATGCTGTTTGGATATAAGTCGAGTTATTTATCTTCTTTCATATTCCTACATATTTGAACAGGATTAGTTACAATGAAATATTGTCATTTTTAAATTTTATTCTTCTGTGTTAGACTTTAGTGACGTCTTCCACAAAATATCTCTATTAACTTTAAGTGCATAATAAATCTACGTTCGCTTTAATAATAGTTATTGTGTAATTACTCAGGTACAGACATAAATATAACGTCAGAATACGTAGTCCGGAACGTCTACTAAGAATAGAAATAGAGTAGCAATTTATTTTTGTCATCTATGGAAACTTCAGTCAATTTCAGTGACAGCATATTATTTGTTAAATTGTTAATGCATTTGTTAAACAGTAAATACTTTGTACTTTTGTATATTTATAACAAAAGATGAGTAAATGTTTAAAATAAAAGTTCCTTCCGAAATTGTTTAGTCACAGGACAGCTATAATTGTCACAGAAGCTCGTCAATCAATCACCTGCGTAGTGTACGGGGCGGCGGGGCGCGGAGGGTGAGGCGGGGGCGGGGCGCTCACCTGACCGATGCCCAAGCGCTGCGTCCTCCACCGGCGTCAGTCTGCGCCGCGAGTCCGCCGCCCCTGAGCGTCGGCGTCGTACGCGCCGTGGTATTACGCGATAAAATGCCTCTATTTTCCGAACACATTTCAAACATGTATTACAGTGGAACTCCATCGTATACCAGCTCACCGTACAGTTACAGCAGTTCCTTGCTCCCATTGGGGACATCGTACAGTGCTACATATCTTAATCCTGGTGCTAGTTACAGCAACCACTCTTCGTTAATTGGATACTCTCGAACACCTGTGACTTCAAGATGGATCCCGAGTGGAAGATCATATTCGCCAATGCTCAGTACAATATCGGAGCGTGGGACATCCAGTCCGGTTAGGATAAATAGTCCTAGAAGGGCCCCAATACAAAATAGATCTAATAGAACATATATTTCTGCATCATCATATACTCCACGACCAGTCAATATTAATACGGCTGACATCGATGTATCTCGTGACAAATATCGTAACAAAACATCAAATGCTAAAAGTGAACCCACAAAGACAGAAGAGAACTCAAAAACAAAAGAAGACGTAAGTCCGTTTATGCCTAGGGTAGAAGATAAACCAGAAACTGGAATAGACACTTCGCCAGGAACCCAGCGTGGTCCTATAAAACGTGAGCGTACCGTAGTACGTCTACACACGTTAAAAAGAAAGGAGAGAGATTCCCCTCGTAAACCAGTCGAAGAGAAACGAAAAGAAGTAATTAGCTCAGAAAAAGAATCCAATAACATAAAAAGTAACGAAAATGGAGAATCAAGGAAATGGAGAGAGAAACTGTCTGAGGATTTGATTTATAAGGATACTAAAGAGAAGAGATCATTAGGAGAAAAACTCGTTGAAAAATTTCAAGTAAAAAGTAAGGATACCAATAGTGTTGAAGAGACTTTAAACAATCAACAAAAAACAGAGGTTTTACCTCTCGCAACACCGCACACCAAAATAAATAGCAAATCCCCAGACAGAAGATGTTCCGTGGAAATGTTGGCAGAACAGGCATGTTTATTAGATTCCCTTATTAGAAGAGAAAATCTTAGTACAGCTACGTTAGATTTAAGTAAAATTGGTACTGATGAAGACAAAGTTGACAGCAATGAAACTTTCAACAACTCAAAAGCATCTCAAACAAAAAATTCTCCCTTAACAACAACAAAATCAGATCATTCATTAAACACACGGTTAAGTAACTTAAAAGATCAAAAGCCTACCGCAAAAAGACATAGTATTAAAAAATCTTCGTCAGGAAGTAACATTTCAAAACTAAATTCAATAGAGGAATTAACCAAAGAACTGAGTCAAAAAAACCTTCCGCCTATTGAGGAAAGCAGATCATCGGTTGGTGAAAAAAGTGTCGAAGATAAGCCAAAGGTCAAACCTAAGCTTAAAGCTAAAATCACATCAACGGTGGAGATTACGCCACCTTCTAGCCCGTTGAGATTTAAGGTAGAAAATGTGACAGTTGAAGAAAAACCTCGTGCACCGCGGAAAGAAATCATGTTCAGTAGTGAAGTGGTAAATGAACTATCGGAAGATAAGTCTACTGAAAATTTGGTTCCCACTACTGAAAGGAAAATTCAGCAGTTAAACAACGATCCTGTATCTCCTGAGCCAGAGGATGGCAATTTTTGGAATAAAATCGGAAAACGAGAAACTGTATATTTAGCAAAAAGGAAACATCAAATAGCAAAAGAAAAAGAAAATCTTCAACGTGCTGCGTTTTGGTACCCTGAAAATGAAAATGAACTTGAAGACAATGATAATAGTACGGAAATTTCAAATAATAGCGAGGATAAAAAAAATAAAACTACAATCAAAGCATGTAATGTTAATGACATTAAAAAACCGGAAGAAGTAAAACAGATTGATGGAAAAGTTAATGCTTCTGAAAAGAGTTCCAATAATAAAATTTCAAACTGTGAGAGTGGCAATATTGCTAAATCAGTTGAAAGTTTTCAAGCAGGATCTGATATAAAAGCATTATCAGCAAACATCCCATCAGCGAATAATAAAGTAAAATCACTTGAGGAAATTCCTGTAAGAAATGATAAAATAGAAAATGCGCCTCCATTGATTATCGAAAATAAATCTATTCCAAATGAGAAAACTCTGCAAACATCAGACAAAGTTGAGGTAGACGCAGAACAAATTAAAGTAAAGGAAAGATCAGAAAAAGAAAACAGAAAAGTTTCAGATAAGAAAAAAACCTCTAATAAAGAAAAGTTAGAGGGAACAGAGCAAAATGAACAGATTACAAATAGTAGCAAACGAAAAAAGCTAAAACGTATTACCCCAAAGAAAAATGGAAAATCGGAGGGATCAGAAAAAATACAAAAAGAAATAACGAAGAATGAATCAGAGGCCAATACGATTAATATTTCTACTAAACGGGTTTTAGAAAACCAAACAAAAGAATCTGTAAAGGATACTGAATCGATTAATAAAAACAAAATAGAACAAGTAAAATCAAATACATCGAAAGAAAACATTTTGACAAGTGATAATGATCACAAAAAGCTAAACGATACGGAAATAGAGAGTAAAGATAATTTGCAGCATACAACTTCGTCTAATTCCAATTTATGCTCTACTGAAAATCATTTAGAAGAAGTAGAAAAAGATTCAATAGTCGATGTAAATGTAAATCACGAAAAAAGTGATACCAAGACTTTAGAAATTCCAAACATTCCATGCGAAGATATAGAAAAATGTAAAATCACAATAGTAGAAACAAAAGATACTAGTGAAAGTTCGAAAAAACAAAGTGTAAAGCGGCAAAATTCGATTAAGCAAAATATAATCGCAAAACCGATTAAGCCAGTGAAGGAAGAAAAAGCACTTAAACCTTTAATTGCAACACCAAGACCTCTTCAAAAGAAAGTTCCACAACAAATACGTTCAACAAGATCATCAGAATCTTCGTCTGATGAAGAAACATCGGATGATGACGAGGAAGAAGAGACAAGTTCCAGCGAAGGATCTGGAGAATTCTACGAATGTGATAATGTCGACGGGAGAACTTCTACTGGATCCAATGATTCTGGTTTTGATTCTTCCGCGTCTACGTCGCCGGCGGGATTCAACTGGGTTAGAAAAGGTACAGAGTAACATACACAATAACCATCCACTAACACCTTTCTTTTCTGACATGTATGTAGAATACAACATTAAAAGCATGTTTAAGTCTGCATGGCTTTTATTAACCATGGTAAATATTTATTAAAACCTCATCCGCAGAGAAATTGAATTTATTTGTTTATAGACTGCGATGTTAACTGCCATAGAAAGTGTGAAAAGTTGACAGCGAACTTGTGCGGAGTAAACCAGAGGCTTTTGGTCGAAGCTCTTGCGACTCGCACTGCGTCCAGAAGAGGTGGGTACGTCGGAGCCAAATATCAACGTGCATACGAGTAAATTACGAACATAATCCATGACCCGGTTTTAGTGATTACGTGTCTCAGATAGATCTATGTTTGATGTAATAATTATAGACATCACAACAAACGAGACAAGGGAAACATCTAATAGCACGTCATACACCTACTAGTGTATGTTGGCTAATTAAAATTGTGATATTGTGTCCTGCATTTGTCAAAAATATTGTTTAGATCCTTTCTCCTTTTATAATATCTTGAAACGTAAAGTTGAATATGACTAGTGAATTGATTGTTTATACCTTTGTTTTGTTTTCTTAAGCTTAAGAACGTGTTATATTATAAGTATACTATCAAGTAAATGTTTCTGAAGAACAGTGATATAGATAGATAGCAAACGTTTTGTTTTTCGCATTTGTTTTTATGACGACTACATATATCGGTGGGCGTGAGATAAAATCGCAATGTCTGCGGCTGGATGGAAGCCAATCACTCGCTTACCTGTATTTAATAATGCGACAGTACTGATAAAATTATTTGAAATGGCAATAAAGTAAGATTTTAATATTCTGCAAAGGCAACAAGTTCGCACCACAAGTATATTTTTTATTGTCTACAATTCTTGATATGAAACGTACAACGTGTCATCGGTCATATTTTTTTTCGTAGACCATTTGGCCAATTGACTTGCCAGTCCGACCCATCTAATGACTAACCGATTGATAGCAAAACTATGAACAACGATTGATTTGGCTGCACATCAAACGTTACGTATTTTTAACGTTCAAAACCAATTATAGACCATTAGGTATTTTCATAACGGCCATTATACAGATATCGTAGCTTACGTATTTGTCGATGTGGTGGTTCTATACAAAATGAGTATAAAACTATTCGTTGTTTTAATAAGCTAACTAACGTTGCATTTGAATTTTCTTGGATTCTTTTTTAGGATTTGAAAACAGATGTATTAAGATGTTCTGCTTTATGAATTTTATATTTTAAAATACCGCAGCATCTTTATATAATCGTATTTATGTATCAAATCAAGTTCCTGTTTGACAAACAAACGTCGCTTTATAAAAACAATTCTAGATTTATTTCTGTGGTAAGATGTATTTAGTGCAAGATTTTAATTCGTCATCCAGCAAACTTACCATAAGAGCCTTAATAAAATTAAAAGTAATGACATTTAACAAATTAAACGTCCTCAATTTTAAATTGTGGATTTTATGTGCTACGCATGTTTTATTAGACATATGTACAGGTGGAGAGTGTCCCAGCACGTCAGGCAATACGACGCAGCCCCTAGGCTCTGATATCTTAGAACGAGAGCTTGGTGAGATGTACAAATGTATCCCTTAATGTCTGTCTTTCGTATTGTTTTGTTTGATGTTATTGCGTATCCGAGTGACATTTGGCGTTTGTTCTTTATTACCTTCATTAACAACCACAGATAAAAAAGCAGAGTCATACTAATTTAATGTTTCATTTTTTTGTATTAAATGCTTTACTCCATGTTTTTTAAAATACAAAACAAAGAAAGATCGAGATATTTATAAGGTGCGATATATTTTTGTTTCAAAGTGATCAATAAATTCTATTCCAAGAAGAACAGTTAGTTTACGATATTCTTGTATCGATACAATACGCTAAAATCGAAATATATTTACAATATGCCTAATAATAACGATGTAGATATCTCTTTATAACTTTTTCTATCTCTGTTGACCTTCTATTGTAAATTCCGCGTTCCATGTCACATGTTATCATTCTCTAAATAAATATTTTCGCAAAAGAATCGTAATAGCTGTTCTATCATAGTTCCGATTTACTATGCCTTAATAATTTTATTAATTCCTGAACATCTTGAATTAGAGGTTTGCTTTTATTATTCCGTGTAAGGCACCTATAATAACAAAAAAAATATTTAATCCGTGAAAAGCGAGATGCTTCTTCTGTCTCTTGCGATCAGTTGATACATTAAGTGTTATGTTAGGTAATACTAGTTTTTAACTGTGATTCCGTCCGCGTGGAATAAAAAAAACTTAGTAGCCTATGTCTTCTTCTTCTTCTTTTAGTTACTAGTGGACCCCACCGTTTAATAGTAGCCTATGTGTTTTTCCAGACAATGTTCTATATCTATGCTAAATTTCGTCCAGATCTATGCTGTTCTGGAGATACTTTCTAACAAACATATAATACATCTTAACATCTGAACTGTAGTAAGAATGAAGTTAAGATACTTAGTTATTGTTGTACAGATTGTAGGCGGTTAATATTTTACTGCCTACGCGTGCAGCGGCCGTTATTCATAATTCTGACGGGTATTTGGCTTTTCTCTTCATTTTCTTTACTAAATATTTTGACATTCAACATCTATTTTATTATAACTATCGATCTAACAAGTATTATAAATATCTAATGTACGTACATTGCAACAAACCTGTTGAGTTTTCCGAGTAATATTTAAGGAAATGTTAACCTATATTGTTTTGAAATGCTTAATATATCTATAGACTTTCTGAGAAGTCCATTTGTATCAAAAAGAAGACAATTGAAGGTGTTTTGATACGACGAAACTCACGTAAATTTGGGATCAACGCCAAAAAAATGACGCACTTTCCTATTGTGAACGAATAAAAATATATTGATTTGTAATAGAAAAAGTTTTACCTAAGTGTCTAATATTAAACAAAATTACACTAAAGGATAATTCTAAAAGGTAGATAGACGTAGATTTCTGACTAAGCTAAAGAAACTCAAAATTGTTAAGGAATTTTTCTTTTATATTCTATCGTATATCTATCGTAACCTGTTTGTTATCATGAATGCATTTCAAACAGTATTGTAATGCTGACTGGATATAAAAATGTAAACAGTAGTTACTTAATAAAAGTATGAGATCCCACGCACCTCACGTCTAATGCATTTGAGTACCAAAGTGAGTTTTCGTGAGGTTTTGTGAGGTCATTCCGAGTGCAGATGTAAGACAGACGTGTGAATAAATTAACCAAACTGGAACAACTGTTTATCGCTTACAGTTCTAAGAGATCTAGATTCACGTGATTGTCTAGAACTGTGAGATTAGTAATTGTTGCAAATATTAACATTTATGAGAATAAAATTTTAAATAAGAATTTTTATACCACGTCGACGCTTGTTTCTCATATTTTTAGTTAATAAATTGCACAAATTGTCACTTGTCAAGGTCCAAATTTATCCGTGGCGACCTTGATATTGGTCTGTCTGAGCTGAATATTTTTAGACGCACTTCACAATATGCTCGAAATGAAAGAAGCAATGTAACGTTTAATGTATTGCGACTTTTAAATTAATATAAACAAAAGTGATACATTTTCATGCCGTATATAGAATTATTTACATTATAGGATACTCGCTGTCGCCCGCAACTTCGTCCGCGTGTTATTAAAATAAACTTAATTATTAACCTATATGTACTACCAGACAAATTTCAAACAAACATTCATCCATCCATCCATCCAAACATTCGCATTTAAAATATTAGTAAGAAGATGTATGTATTGTAGGCAAACGTTTATTTGTATTTAGATAGAATTAATGGCATTGTTATGTAAATTACAGGCAAAGAAATTAATATTTGTACTTTATATATCCTCTTGACTTTTCTAAAGTCAACCTCAATTAAAAGATACTTCATTATTTTAAATATTGAAACAAGTTCTGCAGGCGTTGTGTTTTTTCCAGAATCGTAAAATTGAATACATCGCAACGAAATTAAACTTTTACGATGTAAAAAACTATATACCGCACTCGTGCAATCAATGGCCAGTATAATGGATGTTGGCAATGTTTTATCTCCTTCTAGAATACGCTAATGACGATTTGATGCGAAATGTTAAGACTCGGATTCATACCGACAAACGAAAAAGTATCGTTAAACACGCACTTAAAATTACTATCAAAGCTATAGTATAGTTACAAATCTACAAACTTAAAAACTATATTATTAATCGTATTAGTCTTTTTGACATTTTTAAGTACATTTTTAAGCCTAAACTATTATCAATTGACGATATTGAATAACTATTATTTTTAGACATTAGTTAGAATCCTTTGGCGCGAATGGCGCCTTTCGTTAGTGTCAGAATTATTAGTGAGGGGACATAAACGTCGACATTTTAGTAAGGCTAGTGTTGCGCCAGTACAACGGGACAATGTCGGATTTACTTCCTAACATTATGTACTGTGAACATTGAATTCTTGCACCTTATAAATATCATGATTGTGTCATCTTTTATGTGTGTTAACATGAATGTATTAATTAAATGTTTAATTTTATTTATGTTTATTTTATGTCATATTACACTTGATACAATAAACCTCGACACTTTAGTAAGCATTGCTTAATTAATTATACTATAATTTATACTTATGCATAGAAGCTAAAACTGTAAAAACAGTTATTGTACCTGATACTCTTCTATATACAGTTTCAATAACGAAACGAATATTTACACAACAGTTTTTTATCTGTTTTTTTTTTTAAATATATGTTCCGCACTGGAACAATACAATGGACATTAAATATAATAACAATAAGTAATTGTGATATTGTTTGAATTTTTCAGAACAATCAACGGCGTATGGGCTTTTCAGAAAGACTGGCAGATTCACACCGCCCGCTCGCTCTATTCCTCGCTTCAGGAAGTACACTATTGAAGATTTCCAGTTTATCAAGGTGCTAGGAAAAGGTAGCTTTGGCAAGGTAAGAATACTTAAACCTCTATAATATATTGACTCACCATTGTAACCATACGATAATATATCGAACAAAATGTAACGTTTGGCGGGCACAACTCTGTAGCAAAACATCAAATCCCGTAACTTTTCGTATAGAAATTGAATTTAGTTTTACATAGCTAACGCTTGAAAATCATCGTCTTTATTGAATAAAATGTATGCGCCTCGATTTCTTTTCTGTTTTTATGTAAATAAAAATTTAAAATTTTCACTTGTAAGATATTTTAGAGTGCTACTTTCACTTGTATTTTTAAATGCACACATATAAATAGTCGGTTCGGTAAATGCCGATAAGTGGTGCCAGCTATAGATCCCACTCCGGTTGGCATCGTCTCCTATAACAAATTGGGTCACTGAGAACTGGGAACTACAACCAATGCTGTCGGAAGAAACTGCAATGACCCAATAATGTCGCGTAAAAATGTCTCAAGAGACAATGTTTTATTTACTTTCCTATATATTTTTTTAATTTTATTTCGATTTAAATAAACATTCAATTTTATTTTAGTCTATATAATTTTAAATTGAACAATATGGACAGTTCTTTATATTTTTTTTAGAGACTGAATCATTCCCGATAAAAGGCATCCGTTCGTAAAATCCGTTTTTATATAACCGATCAAATGTATGACGTAACAAGACTGTAAAATAAGATTGCATTTATCTTGTGGATGTTTCCAGTTCCTCTAACGTCATATCTTTGTAATCGATGCTTTCAGTTCCCTCGACAATTAAATTCTAAAAATTTATGTGAACACGTCTTTCTATAAATAAATACGCAAAAAATGAAGCAAGGGAATTTGCCAAGAAAAAACTGGCCTTCGGCATTCGAAGAGACTATACGTTGAGGACGGTGCTCGGAATTGTGGGGAGATGAGAGGTGTTCCGCTGAGAGACGTGTCTATAACATTCAGTCGCGACAAACACGACGATTTAAAAACAACACATGTCGAGCCAACATATTATATTCGTATAAATAAATATATACAGAAAGAACAACAAATATTTAGTCGTCAAAATTGTAACCAAGAAATCACTTGTACAGTATTTTTGCTCTCTAAAAAAAAGCTGCAATACACGGCACATTTACTGAAAGCTTGAATCTTACATCAAAATAGCATACATTTTATGTATGGAAATTTCCACCGTGAAAAAGAAAATTGTGTGAGCTCATCCAAAAGTTTGACGTTATAAACATCGTGAAAGTTCTTATAAGTCACGTAAGAAATCTATATAATTAAAAGAAACAATTTTTTTAATAAGTTTAAATAAAGAATCTTTAAAAACGTAGGTTTAATAATTTTGTGGAAAAGGTGGTTTTGAGGAATGAAATAGAAAATTAACATTTCGAGACAGGTGCGTTAGCTCGCAGCATCTCACTTACTGTGTTTTGAAGTGTCAAACCACAAAATTACTCTGTTTCTGTTATTTTGAAGCAAAGCAATTACCACTTCATAGAAACATCATCTAAATCTGTGTCAACTTTTGAAATAGAATTATTACCTGTAGCCCATAGAGAATAGACAAAAAGTAGGTCACTGGAAAACTACTACTTTTCGTATTTTATTTGTAGCCTACTTAAAAGTGTGAAAACTTGTTACAGTATTAGTTATTTTGACATGCTGGAAAGAGATTGATCAGTGCTTTAAAATGAAGACTTAATAAAAACATCGTATTAAAGTTTAAGTGTATGTGTGTGTTACTACAGTCTCACATAACAGTATTACCCCCTCTCCCGCCCAAAGAATGGTAAAAAAAGAGGACGCTGTTGAAATTTTGCTCAGGACTCTAGAAAACTGTTACTGATTCTCGAGTCTGTCTCTAGGAATTGGAGCACCCAATATTATATATTTTGTCGTGAATATGAATGGTTTGGATCGGCTTGGAGAAAATATCACACATTGGCCTGGACTTTTCGTCACATAATATATTCATTATCATAAGTTGAAGTGCCGATTTTTCTAGTATATTGTTATGCTACATCCCTACTCTGTGAAAAAAAACTAACCCACGTTAACGAAGCAACTAAAACTTTTCTTTTAAAATGTAATCAAATGTATACGACTTATTTAAAATGTTGAAGAGGAAATTAAATAAATTACTAAATTTACGATGCCCGCTAATGCGCCGCGACGAATGATATATCATTATAGCTGGCGTATTCGCTTCCGAGACTTGAGAGAAATGTCAAATAGTCTATTTATACCGCGTCCAGAGTACGTTGAACTTCCAATGCACGCAGTTTATATTGTAACCTTACGGTTTAGCAATGTGAATTAGCAATTTGTAGTCGTCAGCTTGTGCGCGTCCCAAGAGGGACTCGAATTTATAAGTTAGTGGGGACTAGGCCTTAGTCAAACACAACTAAACTCATGACTTTTTTCTTACTTAATATGCAGGTTGTGTCACTATGATTCCCTTCACAATATGCGTAATAATATTTGGATATTATTTAAATAAAAGAATACAATGAAAGTGGAGACTTAAAGTAACTAGCCTCCCTCTTGACGATCTGCTTGTGAATTTTCTTGAGATTTCTGTAGTAGAATTTTGTAACAGCTTTGAAAAACCGAATACAACTAATTAGAGGATACAGGAATTAGTTTTATGTCGTTGATTTCGTAAGAGTAGTCGTCACAGAGTGTTTGAACTCCGTCGGTTATTTCGCAAGTCATTTTAAATGACAGAAATAGTTTGGTATTAAGATTGAAGAGTTGACGTTGAGTTAAAGTATTTAAGTTCGATTCTAAACTAAACATTACGAGGTACAAAAACACAGAAATTAATGTCAGTTTTTAATTAAATTTTGAAATCACTCAGGAACTAGCTAACTATACTATATATAGCCTTCTCATGTTGTGTGATGATTGACAAATAGGTTGTATCCTTCTAATATCGATAAGCACATGTTTAGAAAATATAAATTGTTTATAGTTAAATACATGGTTTAAACTAATAATCAATCTTCTCTATACTAATAGTATTATAACAAAAAAGTATTGATTTTGTCTGCAAATTGAAAATCAATAATTTCACAACTTTACGATTAAAGTTCATGTTTGTAACAATTGTTGGAGCAAATTAAAAATATTGTAATGCGAAACATTAAACAAATGTACAGAAGTATATTTATGGACTCAATAATATGTGTATTTTTAAAATGGAATACAAAAATATCTTAGCGTATTTTCATGCAGACTTTTTCATCCGATTTATTTGTGATCGACCCCGCGGCGAATCACATGACTTCAGAGCTTATGTAGTTTGCCCGCTGTTCGCTAGACATTATTTATAATACAGGTATCGACTGTTTCATAGATGCAGTTGTTGATGTTAATCAACAATTTGTAGTTTAAAAATGCTTCAAAATGTCATTTGAGAGCGGTAGAGAAACAACAAAACCGTAAACTTGAATTTTAGCGTAGTATGAACGTTCTGTATTAGTATGTACGTTTACATTTCAGAAATATCTGTGCATAATCATGTTGTTATCTCTTATATTTCAGTATGTTTTTTTCTGATCTTTCGAAAGTGAAATAATTGAGTGCTACTTAGTAATATGAACTCGGCATGCGTTGTCTTATACTCCATGAGCAGGGTCCAGTTGAACGACTATTTAATGCTAGAAAGAGGCGCCTTGGTTTGCAAATTATACTGTCTCACATAACCCTATTATCACCCCGGTCCCAAGAAATAGTCAAAAATAAGGGTCGCCGTAGAAATCTTGCCCAGGCAAGATATTCTATTAGAACTAAAACTGTTACTGTTCACGAGTACAGGTGATGTTAGAATCTCTCTATTATAAAGAACTTTAAAAAATTTAGTATAAAATTGTCAAACAAAAAACGTTGCGGTGTTTAATCAGATTATTTTGTGTAGAAAGCATTAAAAGACGTATGTTTGGCAATTCCTGTACAAATGTGTTCAAGTGTTGTCTGTTGGCAGACGAAGTGAGGTGATGCGTGTTGTAGATGATGGTATTAGGCGATGGCAGGTTGCCCGGCGCGGCTCACCTGCGCCCGTCTCGCTCCCGGCCATTGCATCTTACATTCTATTCCCGCCTCACACATCACTATGCTCCGATACAAAACACGTGTCCTCAAACCCGTCACTAATTACAATTATAAATATGCTGCAATATTTATAATTAATAATAAACTTACATTTTTTTTTAAGAATTCTACTGTAGATATATTCGATTTACATTGTGATTTACCAAACAGAAAGTCTGGTGATGGGAAGCTTTCTCATAAACAACCCATAAACAAATTCTGCGATCATCCCTTATCGACCATGGCTAAATCTGCCACCTAACTTATCGGTGACTAGAAGTTGCACGGCAGTAAGTGTTTATTTATTGAGACCACCTCTGTCCTTCTTACAAACACATCTGAAATAATAGTGTAGCGCATATCGTAGTCTTAATACGCAACGTATGTAGTAAAGAACATTGCCCTGCATCACTCGGGTATGAAAACAATACCATTCGGATGTTACTCATTGGGGTCATTGGAGTCAAAAATCGTTGGGATAAAAGAACCAGAACCTTTGTTTTTAAATTTAGATTTAAAAAGCTGTATATACCTGACACTTTAGAAATAAGGTTAACATTTACTGGCTGTATAATTTGGAATTACGATGCTAATTGTGTGTTATAACGACTTGAGTTCCGCGTTTAAACGTGAACAAAACAGAAAGAATTAGGGCGAGATATCACGCTCAAATGAGAACACATTATTCCTGTATTTCTTAAAATTACCTATTGATAAAATACCAAGTACTTAGACAACTTACCGTGAGTTTCCACTACGGAAATATTTGTACAAAAAACGTCACGTCACTCATCCATTTAAATAAAAAGAAACAAAGGTAACTACGTGTTTTTTCCAAAAATATCTCGAAAGTGGGAACCAACGATTATGACTACCTGAACATAATTTGATCATTGACTTTAATGTAAAAGCAAATCAAATTATAGAAACATACATGCGTATTAACACATGTATGTTCATTGTTATTTATCTTGTAAGACGTTTCAAATCAATCAGGTCATTTTTCCCGTTCAACGAATACTGCATTTCGCTCCTGATTCATAACGGCCATGTTGTTTGATTTATTCAATCTCATTCGATTTGAATACGTAAGTGTTACAAGACAGGAATAAAAGCCGGAGATGATCTTCCTGGTTCGCCGGCCCACTTAACGTTGACGCCGAGCCAAGAATAATGCAAAATTGTTACCTTTTAATAAACACACAAGTCTGTTAACACATAAATGTTAAAAGGGGTCTCATTGAAATATTAAAAAAAAGCATCAGAGCTTACAGATTATAAAAACTTCTATTGTGTTATTGCGTCAAAGGACAATTATTATTTAGCCTACTAAGTTATTTAATTAAATATATGTATAAGTTTAAAGGTAATGCACATTTTGTACCGTAACATAAAGACGTCAGTTAGTCTATCCAGAATCTGGCTAACTCCCAGTGCGGGAACATAAATAGCTTTATGTTATTTATTATAATCGAATAGTACATCATGTAACATGCGTTTTAAGTCGTTATATTTCATTAATAACATAAATTGTTTACATCGTCTTATTTGTTGATTACTTGAATTTAGTCCAAGAGTAGAACAAGGACGAAAGTATTGAATATTGCCAATATTATGTCGGTTTTCAGTTTATCATCACCAATTTATATGGTTATTTGATCTTATCGTTCTCCTGAATTGTCCCTCCTTTTTATTTCTGTATAAACGTTGTTTCTTTGCCTTTTCTCTTTTCTATCTCTATTTTTTGTCAACCGACAAATGACCTCTAGGGGGAGAAGAGGAGAAAGGATAAAAGGGATATCTTCTTTACAGGTGTTACTTGCAGAGTTAAGAGACACAGAGTACTATTATGCTGTAAAGTGTTTGAAGAAAGACGTTGTTCTAGAAGACGATGATGTGGAGTGCACGCTGATAGAGCGCAAGGTCCTCGCTCTGGGAACTAATCATCCTTACCTCTGTCATCTTTTTGCTACTTTCCAAACCGATGTAAGTATCAGTAATATAAATAAAAATCATAGATGAAAAACTGGCATTGAAAAGGATCAAACGAATCTCAAATGTGCGCTCATTATGCGTCAGAATCGTTGTATTCTCTACACGCCGTTGCCGTAACACTTACTTAAACATAGTTGACATGTTGCAGTCTCATTTGTTCTTCGTGATGGAATACCTGAACGGCGGCGACCTGATGTTCCACATCCAGCAGAGCGGCCGCTTCCCGGAGCCTCGCGCCAGATTCTACGCCGCAGAAATTGTCTCCGGGCTTAAGTTTTTGCACAAACGCGGTATTATTTACAGGTAAGTTACAAGTTTAATATGAATTAAACTCTTATGTAATATAAACATAGTAAAATTTTGTATTTATGTTATGTAGAGATTTAAAACTAGACAACATTTTACTGGACTACGAGGGGCACGTGCGCATCGCGGACTTCGGCATGTGCAAGCTGCAGATCTACCTCGACAAGACTGCAGACACATTCTGCGGCACTCCAGATTATATGGCCCCTGAGGTAAATGCTCTGTTTTAGACTTTTTTCATTCTACGTCTTTTTCTCAGGTGTCATTAAAGGCGAAGTAAATTGACGATGCGATCTTTGTTCACAGATAATAAAAGGTTTGAAGTACAACCAGACGGTGGATTGGTGGTCGTTTGGCGTGCTGCTGTACGAGATGCTGATCGGCCAGAGCCCCTTCAGCGGCTGCGACGAGGATGAGCTCTTCTGGTCCATCTGCAACGAAATGCCCTCCTACCCGCGCTTCCTTTCTCAAGAGGCGCTTAGCATACTCACCAGAGTAAGGCGACAATTTGACTGAAATATTTATATTTTAAAGATCGAATTTATCCAAATTGTATATTATGTAAATTGTAGCTCATTCAACAGAATTTGTATTTATTAGTGTCTTGATTCGTTGCGATAATCGAGTGTTTGTTATGACCAGTTGCTGGATAAGGACGCGCGGACTCGTCTGGGCGGCGCAGAATGCATGCACGGCGACGTACGCGACCAGGACTTCTTTCACGGCCTCGCCTGGGACCGCTTGGAGCGTCGGGAGCTCGACGCACCATTCAAACCACGAGTGGTATGTCTCCTCAAATCGAAATCCTAATATCTAAAAAAACATCCCCATCCATCTTCTTACCGTACTTGTAGCGCCATGTGTGGTATGAGTAATATTAATTCAACTTATACATATTTCTTATTTTCCTTATAACCATTCCTCACAAGTTTCTTGCAAGTACTTACTACACATCGGGAGAATCTGCTCTTTTGTTTCTTAATTTGTTATCAATTGTTTCTATAAATGTCATTCCAGAAAACGCAACATGTTTTATAAATAATTTCACATAAATTATTTCGTCTTCAAATATTTTTTCAGAGGCACCCACTGGACACACAATACTTTGACAGAACATTCACGGGGGAGCGGCCGCGGCTGACCGCAGTCGAACCTCATGTGCTACGCTCCATGGACCAAGAACCGTTCAGGGGTTTCTCCTACACGAACCCGAATGCCACAGATCGATAAAAATAAAAGAAAAAATTGTAGGCTACGATTAAATTTTGAAAATTTCCGATAATACCTGTTAGATACAGTGCCTTGAAAATGCCAAAGAATAGACAAGTCATTGTTTAACAGTGGAGAAAAAGGCCCGTTTTGGTAGGCTTTTGGCAATATTGCTGTTTTAGTAACACGATCGTGTTAAATAATTGTGTGACTTTAGAAAGAGAAGTCCTCTTCCTTTTTGGGGATAAGAGACAGAACTTTATCATTACGGTCGATCAAAGAATCAGTTGATTGATTATTGTGTCTGGCACACAAAAGTAAAAGCTTTGATGTTATGTATTTTATTACTATGTATAATAATAGTTATTACATAGTCCGTAAAAGTAAATAATCATGATGATGCGGTCCCTACTAGTCAATTTCACAAACTACCGATGGTTTTTGAGTTTGTGGATCAGTCATTACTTTAGCGGCTGGGCCGAAAATGCGCACCTTTTTGTAAGTACATATAATGAATGTATTTAATTACATAATTTGATAATTTTTATAGCATTGTGTCGAGATTTTACTATAATATAATGTAGTATTCAGATCCTTTGTAAGGAATAAAAATATAAAAGTTTATTGAGAAATATCAAAATGTTTGATATGTTCTTTGATCTTATAATATTAAGTTAAATATCAGTACAAATGTTTATTGTTGTTTATGTGATCAAATTCGAGATACAATCAATTTCTATAATTACTGCTGTATTTCATTTTTAATAAAAATATTCTATAATTTCTTCTCATTAAAATATCCTGGAGTTAGAAACGAAAATTAGAAAAAAAAAAATAATTAAAGAGGATAGTGGAATAACGACTGCTATTGACAGTTTCATGAAAGTATTAAAAACTAGCTGTCGCCCGCGACTACGTCCGCGTGGAATTAAAAAAGAACTATTAGTAGCCTATGTATCTTTCTAGACTATGTTTTACATCTATGTCAAATTTCATCGAGATCCGTTCAGCCGTTCTGGAGATAGCTTCAAACAAACATCCATCCATCTAAACCAGTTGTTCCCAAACTTATTTTGTCTACTGCCCTCTTTAAGAATAAATATTTTACATATTTAAAAATCACTATAACTTCAAATTAAATTAATTAATTATTGTGACCCATATATGTGTATTAACGGAGAATTCCAAACGAAACTTTTACTATAACCCGCAACTTGAGACCTGCGCCCACAAGGGGGCGTTATCGCCCACTTTGGGAAAGACTGTTCTAAACATTTGCATGTATAATATTAGAAAGAAGTAAGATAAATAAAACACCACAAATAAAACAACAATCATTTCTTTAATACACAAAAAATACGCACATTTATTTTTGGTTTTAACATGACTATTTTTCTTTTAAAATAATAAATACACTTATATGGCAAATCGTAGACTATCCCTACGACAATATAACAACATTCAATATATACCTAATTTCCACGTAAAAAGTTGAAGAAGATAATTCAACTTTTCTCATTAATCATTGTAAGTGACTATTACTTTTATGGTCTGATGTTGAGTTGCTATAAACAAATAGTGCGACTCTTTCGCTTCATAAACCTCTATCGCCTTGATCGCGACATCCAAAAATCCATCCAAAATGAGATCCTTAATATTAAATGTAAAAAGTGGTTCTTTTGTACTCAACAATTTCTCTTGTAAATAAGCACGTACCTGAGGAGAATAAAATTCAATTACCGTTGTTTTCTGAGACCAAAATGCTCTGCAAAAAACACATCGTCATCCCTGTCATTATCTTTCACAAAACAGATATTATATGTTTTAAACGGGGATTTTAGTCTCAGAAACCCACGGTAAAACAAATAATTGTAAGTAAACTCAGATCTTAACGAGTGACTTGAGCCTATTGTTTTCGAGTCACTGGATTCTGTGTCATTAAATTTCTCAGGTGTCCTCCTTAAAGATATGTGCAGATTGCATCACAATGTTTTCCTACACCTTAATGTTACTAAAAAATCAAATATTCACCAACAAGCTGTAATAAAATGAAGCTTTCTGAATTCCAATTATGCTCAACTCCGGAGAATTAAAACATACTCACCTCTCCATCTTCATATCCTAAAAGCAGGATATCACCATACGGAGTAACACAAGTCATTCCAGAACATTCCACGACTATTTCTTCCGTATCATCAATAAAAGACACTGCCATTGTTTTTGATCCGTCCTTACTGCTGACTGGGATTTTATTCATTTGAATTATAATATACATAGAAAGAACTTCAATTCAATGGCTGAAGCTAAACTAACTACAATTTAAGAACAGATGTTTAAAGCTAATGTCTAAGCATGTTCTGTGTTCTATTGTGTTACTAAATAAAATAAAAAAATTATAAAATTAAATCAATTCCTACTTAAATCATCAAAATAAAACAAAACAATAAAACAAATAATGAAATGTACCAAAATTAAATATCTTTTATCATTTTTTTTAATAATATTGAATTTTAAATAAAACACTCACCACAATAACACTATGCTTTAGAAACAAGCACATTATTGAAGGTTTATAAAAAATGTGGTGCTATTTGTCAATAGATGTCTCTGTGAAGTACCGGGTAAATTCCATTAGTATCACAATACCTTTAAATTTCAAAAGGTAAACTTCATTATAACAAGTATTTTTGCTACAAATCGATCCTAAGGAATCGTTGTGTGTAAAATGAATTAACCTATTTCCATCCACTTTAATCATACTAAATGAATTACGTGGATCTATTATAAAACAAATGAACAACATTCATAAAATAAAAAAAAATATCTATAAATCTGCAAAACAGTGTGAATAAACTTACCTAACAAAAAAAACTTAAAACAGTGTTGCAATTATATTTTAGTTTAAAAATATTGTTAATGGTTTTATTGCACTGATATTAAACATTACCAAAAATAATGATTATTGAAATATGAGTTTAGTTCCAGTGTCAATTCAATTTACCGTGTGTTTCTGAGACCAAATACCAAGTTTAAAAACATATTGTTATCTCTGTTTTGTCACAGATGATACACAGGGATGTTTTATACAGAGATTTTGGTGTTAGAAACCTACGGTTACTCTATTTCTGAGGATATTAGGAAATACACATACAATACAACCTTAGCCCCCCCTCAAAAAGTTACAATAAACATATATTAGGGAAAAAAAACTGCCAGCTGATATTTTTTTATAATTTACGTGCACTTTTGTATTTGAAACAAACGTGAGTGTTAACGCGAGCAGATAAATATGTGAGTTCGAGTGTGTGTATGAGAATGTATGCGAGTGAGCGGATGTTATGTGCAAATATGGTACACAGAGTGAATAGCCAGAGCGAAGCACGAAAATTCGTAATAACGTCTTGATAACGTCATTAATAAACTTTGTATTAAATTTGTGCAGCGCCCCTACCGGGCTTAAAGTATACCAAAAAAATCTCATAATTCTGACATATTTAGTTGATGAGTTTACGAAGGAGCGTGTTGCAAATATTCGTGCTAGGCCCTGTTATGTTGGAAAGTACGTGCACACACGCATGGTTGTGTTCGTGCGCAACATAGTACATAAATACGAGTATATATGTAGCTAAGCGTTATGTTTAGTTAATTAGACCACTCACCATTATGAATAACACTGAACTTTTGAAACATGCACACAACTAGTGGGCTATTGTTACGCGGGAAAACGATTTGCCCCACCGTTTTACCTAAGAAATCCATATCCTTTAACCTTATTATTCTTCCACCTTTATTTACCACGTAAACAATATCATTATCAATGTTTGCGCTACAGATAGTTCCAAGGGTATTGTACAGACGGAGCGAGGCTGCTTTTTTAAATCTAATCGATGGATCAATTGGCACAATGGAACAACAGCATTTTATAATGCTGAATATATGCGACGCATCTGTTACTAAACAGTGGTCATTTATAATTCTGCAAAATGACATTGACTTTGTGGATAAGTTTAATATGATACAGACATAAAAAGATGATGATATGAAATGAGGGTGTTCAAAGATCACCAAACATATTTACATCACATTGAATTTAAAGGAAACAATACTTACGTGAAATCACAACATGGAACACAAAAAACTTTTTGCCGCAGTCCTATTTTAAGACACAGTGAATTTTTGTGATCTAATTTTCCTGTTATACAATGAGTTTGTTGATAGTTTAAAACATCTAAAATTATAAATGAAATTAGACATTGAATTAATAATATATATAGGATAGGATACAAATTATTAACTGTGGGTTTCTGAGACCAAAATCCAAATAAAACATATTGTTATCTCTGTTATTTCAAAGGTGATAGACAAGGACAACTATATGTTTATTTATTTATTTAACTATAATTTTTAAACAGAGGTTTTGATGTAAGATAACCCATAGTTAGCGAAAAAATTTAAATGTACTTACTCTTTTCTATCAAACTTCCTTCTAATGTATCAACTTTGTATTGCATCATACCAGAATCAAAGGTAATAAATATATTATCTGAAAAATGAAAATGACACATTTAAAAAATACTATTATTATTTTATTATTGTTATGGCACAATTTTATTTTCTTTTACTAAAATAAAGAAGCAACCACTACCCATAGACATCTTCAATAAGTTGTTGAAGTGTTTCCTAAACTGATCAATATAAATGAATAGGTGATTTCTTGGAAATTATTGCTTTTGCTTCCTTATTTAAAAGTGCTATTTAAGATAATGAGACTCACTGAGTGAGATAATTACTGCTATCATCATCAAGATGGTGTAACTTAAATAAACACAAAATGCTATATCCTATAGGCAGTCCATTTTTAGATTTCAGTGGTTACTTTCCTTAAATTGATGAGGGAGGAGACACAGAAAAAGGGGCATTTTCCCTTTCCCATCCCCTTCTGTTGAATTTTTTTTATGATTGCTTATAAAATAAGTTGACATAAAATATCTTATACAAAGAAATTACCTTCAAACACATGCATGTGCTTAAACTGTTTTAATTCCAAAATTGTATCAAGTTGAAGATGAATATTCCTATTATTCCATAGCTGGTAATTAAAGTATAGGTCTCTCCAAGGAAGAATAGACCTCTGTTTAAATGCAATACCTTTTTTGTACATGGCCAGTTGTGCTAGGTCAGGCCATATTCCTTTAACCTAATATATAAACAGTTTGAATTCAATGTTTAAATCAATAAAATTACAAGTCCTTCTTTAAGAAAAGCTAGGTTTATACAACTAAACATATTATAATACACAAATTATAGTAAACATTCTAAGAAAATTACAAGTTTAAAAAAATTTAAATTTTAAGGAAGCAAGAAAAGTATAAAATGGTTTGTTAAAGTTAAAGAAAGGAATTTAAAACACAGTTTCAATAGCTTTGTAATATACCTACTCCTGCATAATAATCCACTATGTCTCTCCAAGACTTGCATACAGAGAGACAAATCGCAAGAGATTTGTAATCCAGGTATTTAAAAATCAATAAAATGATATCCGGCGAACATGTTGACCAATCCATGTTGGAATAAAAACGCTTCAAGTGCTGACGTTGGCTTTTGTATACCGCAACTACCGTACCACGCCTTGTTTCTTCTTATAGGTAATTTAGCAAGTTGAGGACTTTTAGCGATGTAAAGTTGGTGTTGAATTTCTATCGTTGTATATTTTTAATTATAATCATACTTCAGACATGTTGATATTCCGGAATTTTGTATGGTACAAATCCACTTTGTTCTTTCAATACGAAATGCGCAATAATGTTGTTTTACACCGACGAATACTTGTTTTCCCATCTTCTATTATTTTATGCTCTTTTTCTTTGATTTGTGCATATTAAAAATGTTGCTCAAACGTCAATTTTGTTTGTTAAACGTCAAAAGGCAAAATACGTCAATGTTTAGCAACAAGCAGCAACAAGCAACAACGTTGTCATTATCATTTTCAGATTTTCAAGACTTCTGGAATTGATTTGTCCATGGTCACATTTTTGGTTTTCTCAAAGGCTACCAAAGAGTATAGTAAGCATACGATAGAAAAAGGCTACTGTACATACTATACTCTTTGGACATGTAACGTCAAAAATAAAAAATGTCAAATAACAAATTGTCATTTTGTGGTTGAAGATTTGGTGGTTATGTTTTCGTTACAAAGTTAATATTGGTGTAAATAAACTATTGGATGACTATATAATATCGCATAAGAATTGAAATAATAAAACTAAGCTTATTACCCACACTTCTTCAAATTACGCACTATCCTAATCAGAATCTTTGTTTTTTATTCCCTTTTCAATTATGGTGGATTACAACTTTTAAAAATAATAAATAAAATCGCACAGACTATCGTTCGTCCTTCATATAGTTAAAACAACTATTAGAATCTTCTATATTCTTTCAAAATGGTAAGTAAAATTTTATACTATTCTTTTACTTTTTTGTTTTTTAAAATTCCTGTTTGATTACCGAAAATGACTGCACTTTTTATAATTTGTAACCATAAAATAATAATTGAGACCGCTAATTTATTACAGTAATTTTTTGACATACTCAAATTCCATGTAATCCTTACTTTCCATATATAACCCTTATTATCTTTTATTTTACAGGCTAGAAATGCAGAAAAGGCTATGTAAGTGTTAACGGGCTTTAACATTAAATTGATTTTGTAACATTGTGTAAATATATAATGTAATTTCATTACTTTGTAAACATTGGAGCGGGTAGCATGTATTTAACCCAATCAGACTGGACCAGACTAAACACAAGATCCATCATCACATTGCAGTGTCCCGATTTTCGGATTTCATATGTGCACATTTCATTTTATTTTTAATTGTAAAAAAATGGTGATGCAACCGGCACATATTTGCACAGTAATTCAATGTTATGTGTGAAGTCAACCAACTGACTTGTTAAGACCACATTTGAGCTGAAAAATAGGATCAGAACCAGAATTATACTTAAATGATGATAACACAGTTAGAAATTAATACAAAAATTTTGTTAACATTACATTAGTATAGCATGTGTCATAAACATTTTTCTTTAGGACGACGTTGGCGCGATGGCGTGCGGCGCAAGTGCAAGAGGCGGGTGGGCAGCGCGAGCGTCGACCGTACCTTGCTTCTGAATGTAATGACTTGCCGCAAGCTG